GGCTGGGGGGGTCGGGACCCCCCCCCTAGCATGTGGTGAAGGTGCTGGGGGGGGTCGGACCCCCCCCTAGCATGTGGTGTGGAGAGAAGTGCGCCCCCCTCCCTGGAAGCGATGTGCGCCTGCTCTCTGTAAATCGCGATTTTTTTCGAGCTCAGACGGCAGCGAGCGACTTTTGCCTGCAGACGTAACTCGGCCTCTGGCCGCCGACAGCGCCTAACTCGGGGTCTGGGGCGGAGCCCCAGCCTGGGGTCTGGGGCTGGCAGCCCCAGCGGGGTGCGGGGCAGAGCCCCGCGAAGAAAATTTTGCATTTTTAGCGCCAAAAACCGACCAAAAACGATAGGCTGTGAGCTGCTGCCCAAGAGCCCCCGTCTAGAGCGCAATGTACAAATCTCGTACAATAGTACACATACACATACACACACACACACACACACACACACACACACACACACACACACACACACACACACACACGATTCATACTCATGCAGTGTGTACAGATCACTTCCGTCGCTGACGCTTCGACATGGCCGCTACTGCCTTGGCTGCTGGCTTGGCTGCTGGCGGCTTGCGCCGTGCGGACCCCTTGGCTGCCGGCTTGGCCCCCCGCCCTGCCCGCGCCGGTGCTGGCGCATGCAATGATGGGCCATCGTCATCACTGCTGTCTGGCGGGCGCGTCGGCGGTGCTCGAGGCGGTGCAGCCTTACGCTTCCCTGCACGCTGCGCGGGTGCATGTGCATGTGCGGGTGCGGGTGCGGGTGCGGGTGCGGGTGCCTCGCCGTCGCCCTCGTCCTCGTCCTCGTCCTCGGACTCGTCGCACGAGGTCTCCTCCATGTAGCCCGCACGCTCCTCCTCGAACTCCTTCTAGCGCCTCCAAGTGCTCCACGTGCAATCTCCAGCCTAGATCAAGTCCTCCTTCACACCCCCCCAACTCACCCACAAAGCCACCTCTTCCTCGGTCCAACGCAGCGCCTCAAGCCGTGCCTGCTCCTGGTTGACTGTCGCAAGCCGCTGCTCATGGAGCAGCGGCTGCTCCTCGTGCTCGTGATCTGATGAAAGCTCGGCATCGCTCAGCGCTTGCGCCATCGGGACGTCAGCCTCTGCCGCCGGAGCGGCGGCCTCGGACTGCATCGCTGGGTCTGCAGCTCCGTCGACCTCCTCGGTGGGAGGGTCGGCGGCGGGCGGGTCGGCGGCGGCGCCGTCGGCAGTGGCGTCCACTGGAGTACCGGGCGGCGGCGACGGTTACCCGACGTCGGACGGACCGTCCACAGTGGTGCCAGGTGCAGGCATGAATGGGTCTGACCTCGAAAAAAATCGCGATGTAAAAGAAACAAGAAGGACGCCAAGCTGCTCTGTGCTCTGACTGAAACAAGAAATAGCCGCGCGTGACAAGGATGAGGACGCGTGGTTTATTTTTCGCAAACGATTAGTCGCCAAGGATGGTAGAGCGTTTCTTCTTCTACAAATTCTTCTTTCGAATATATAGCAGTTGTCGCATAGCTGGCCAAGTTTCGTTGAATCGTTCAAAGACCCCCCCCTCCCCCACCCCCCCCAAATCGGCCGACGCCGCACACGCAACCTTGTTTCCGCCTCGCCGCGCGGCATGTGCAAGCGAGCGCGGCCTCGCGTCGGGCGCAAAGCCCGTCGCCGCCAGCACCATCGACTAGAGCGCGGGGGCCCGCACCTAGGTACACACCCTAGCCGCGCCGCGCTCCCCCAGACAATCGTTGCCCCTGTTGCGACAGCTTCTTTTCGTAGTGCCCCCTGCTCAAGCTCTCGGTGTAGACCGCCTAGTCGTAGCGAGGGTTGAGTCAGACGCTGCCACTAGCGAGTCTTCTGCATGGATTCTCTGGTCTGCCGCGGGAAGGAAGCCCGGCACCGACGCCGCGCGCGCGAACAGCGAGTGGCACTTCGAGCCAGGGAACCCGTAGTGGCACTCCCACACGAACACGTCGATGAGGCCGGTGAGATTGGCCTGAGATGGGGTGTGGTGAGGATGATCGCGGAGGCCCTTACCTCTCGCACACGACTCCATTCTGGCAGGCCGGTGCAGGGTGGCCAGGCCAAATTATTTTCCTGAGACATGAGGCCTAAGTCCCGTGAGCTACTCATCAGTGCAGGCGCGCCTCCAGCATGGAAGGGACCAGTTTGTGCTCAAAGCCCTCGACGTCCATCTTGAGCACAAAGAAGTCCTAACCCCATGCAACTAACATATAAGCCTGTGAGCGTTCTCCTCACACTCCATGTCCGCAGTTGAGCATGGAAGGGCTCCTCCGGCCGCACGTTGTGCTCAATCCACCGTACAATGTCGACCGAGCGGACGTTCCAGCGCGACCGGTGCGCCTCGCCGCCAATGGACTCGTTGTGCATGTACAGGCCAGCTGGGGCACGGCCAGCAAAAAGTGGCTTTGAGCCTCCGACCATCAGCTGTTCGATGCCACCACCCATTCTGGCCGTCCCGTTTTCATCGCTGGCGGCGGCGTTTATCACTGTAATGGAGTGCCGCTCCGGGCACTGCCCCGCCTAGTAGTGTGGAATATATGCTGGGGAGAACAGTGAGAGATTCATCAGTGCTCCTAATCTCCAGTGTGTTCGACATCTAACGAGCCTTGCCGCCGCAAGCCGGGCGTCCACCGTTTCGCGGCTGCCAAGCACAGGATCTGCCGAGAGTGAGGTCATATTTCTCACCATCTCAGGCAGCGCAAAGACGCACTCCTTGATGTGGCGCCACCTTGGGGAGGGGGCGAGGCGGGGCGGGGGCGGAAGGTGCGTGCCAAGTCTCTCGGGGCCGGCGGGGAAGAGGGGGGCGCAAGAGGGGCGCGAGAGGGGCGCGAGAAGGGCGAGGATTGGACGAGCGAATACGGCCGGGGTGTGTCGGCCGGGGAGCCTCCGGCGGGCCTGCGGCGCGGGGCGCGCACGCCCTCCTTGCTGCAGACTCGCAACTTATCGTGGGAGCGCACATACTCGAGGAAGTCCGCCGTGGAACCTGCGAGGTGAAGGCGAAGGGCTCGAGTGCAACCACGCATCCGTGACTGCTCGAGTGACTGCCGCATGGCGAGTACGCGGCATGAAATCACTCTGTGGCCGCTGCGGGTCTAGTGACGATTCTGCGATGATCTAGTGCCAACGAGCCGGTGGGCGGCACTGGCGCCGGAGGGATCGGGCGGCCGGCAGCAAGTTCTACCGCGCAGCTCTCGAGATACGGCGCGATGAGCGGCGCTGCCTCGAAGGCGAACACCATCCACGGTCCGCTCCGCGCCGCAGCTTCCTCGAGTTGCGTATGCAGTTGGAGCGTGTTGCACCAAGAGGCACCAAGGTCGACGTACATATTTCGCGGGCCACAGCCCGCGAGAGTGTGGGGATAGGCAGAGACGAGCGGTGCAAGCAGCAAATACATCGTGACCTCTTTCCCGATCGGTTGCTGGTTCACGTTTTTTTTTCATGTTCGTGACGCTGTTCACGCTTCACAGGTTAGTATAACCGGAGAATCTTCAGCCAGCCTGGCGACTCCGAGTCGGGCGACTGCGACACCGACAGCGCTCGCGACGACTTCACGAGCGAGCAGGCCGGAGTCCCCCAGTGCCGCTTCTTTCTTCGCTGCCGGCTATTGCAGGCAGGGGGGAGACGGCGAGGGAGGAGGTGGCGAGGGAGGGGGAGGTGCGGGGGGGGATGGCGAGGGAGGAGGCGGCGAGGGAGGGGGTGGCGAGGGAGGGGGAGGAGGGGGTGGCGAGGGAGGGGGTAGGAAGGGAGGTGGCAAGGGGGTTGGCGGCGAGGGAGGTGGCGGCGAGGGAGGTGGAGGCAAGGGAGGCTGCAAGGGAGGCAGCGGCGGCGGAAGGGGCGAGAACGGAGGGGGAGGGGGAGGTGGTTAAGGAGGGGGCAAAGATGGAAGAGGCAGCGGCGAGGGAGGAGGAGGCGGCGAGGGAGGAGGAGGCGGCAAGGGAGGAGGCGGCGGAGGTGGCTGTGAGAGGCGCTTTTATTCGTAGAATTCCTCTGAAAAATCTCGCCGGGTTGCTCTGCTCGTCGCTCTGTCGACGTCTGCCCTGCCGGTGCGTCGCTCCGCCCAGCCGCACTTACTCACATGCAGGCTTGAACTTACACGCACCACACGAGTGCGCAGGCAGAAACCGTCGACGACATCAACCCAGCCGCTCGCGGCCTCGCCTTACCGCCTGCCTACTCCCGCTCGCAGGTACAGCCGCTACCATGGAGGAGGCCGCGAGACGCGTCCGCTGCTGCATCATGTTCTTCCTGCTCGCCCTCGCGGGCGCCCACGCCGCAGCAAAGGGGCAATTTCCCGAGTGGCGCTTTCAGGGACGTGATGTGGTGGTGAAGATCCCAAGAGATTCGGTGCGCCCTTCAACTCAGCTCAAGTAGACTCAGACACTCCGTGTGATCTCACATACACCATTCGTGTGCTGAACAGTTCCACGAGCCTCAATCGGCCGCGTGCGAAGCCGCTGCCGCTGCTGCCGCCGCTAAGAACTCCTCTCCCGCACCGGTCCTCATCATCGACGCGCCATCGTGGTTTTGCACGTCCGATTCTGTCGGCAATCATTTGCCACTATACTTCACCCTTCGAGCCTTGGCCTTGCTGCATGGCATCGGATTCCAGATGCAGCCGACGTGTGGCCCTATCATCCGGGACACGCCCAAATACATCACCGGTTGGTTGCCTCAAAGTGCTTCTCCGAACTGGCCGCCCGAGGTCCCTCGTGACCCCGGCACGATCATGCGGGAAATAGAAGGAACCTGCAAATGTCGCACGATCATCACGCATGCTTGCACTTACGGTTGGCCGTTATTTGCCGCCGTTTGGGGTCGCGAGATCCGAGCCGCAGCCGAGCGCTATTCGGTTGCAATAAGGGGGTGTTGGCAAGCAACGGCTCAAAGACGCAGAAGTACACGTATGACCTCGATGATGCCGTCATCCACTTTCGCTGTGGGGACATTATGGAAATGGATGCGTCACGGGGCCCGCTCAATTCTGGGTTTGTGCCATTGAGTGTGCTTCTTCGCTACCTGCGCCCACTTGCCCCGCGTTCGGTGGGCATTGTCACAACACCGCTCGTTGAGAAGTGCAGCAGCAAACTCGAGACCCGAGCCATGGACTGCAAGCACGGCAAGCAGTGCCACGACATCCTTGAAGTGCTCCTCCCCGCACTCCAAAGCGGGCTGACCGGCCCGAGGAAGATGCACGGCCCAAGGGTCAGAATCCATGACAAGGACACGACGGTGGGGGCGATGTCGCGCATCGCCCTCGCTCAACTCTCCATCTGCCCACCTAGCACCTTTTGTGTATGGCCGGCTCTTGGGGCAGTGGAGGGGGTGCTCACTGGCGTTGGGGGTGGGCACAGTATTGCACTTGAGCCAGGCAAGCGGGCCGCCGCTGCACTTGGAGAAGGGCATCTGCATGTGCACGCACTCCACGGTTCAAACGCCAGTATATTGTCAATCAAGCGCATCAAAGAGGCACAAATGTCGCCACAGCAAATTGGACAATTCCTGGTTGAGCACTAGTAGTATGTTGTTGACACGGTGGCGGTGGCTCTACCCGGCTCCGGGGAGCATCGTGAGGTCAGCTTGCGCCTCGTTCTAACAGGCATGGGAGCCGTGCCTTGCGATGCGGGACCGCTCCGGCGGTGGTGGCAGCTCCTCCGCCGCCGCATCGCGGTGGCGCGCCTCGTGCGGCGGCGCCCCGCCGAGCCGCAGCAAATAGTGCCACTTTCGTAGAATAGTGCTTGCGTGTTGGCTGTTGCGTCGTTAAGTGGCGAGACCTCGGCACCTCGCGCGAGCGTGCGCGCGCCGCAGGAGAGCGGTGGCCGGTGGGGGCCGGATACTCTTACATGCTATGTAGACTCTTCGTGTTTCTAGGGTACCGAGGCTCACACGCCCCCCTTGGCGCCTGCTGTTTCCTGCCAAAACCAGCGAGATCTCGGCCCGCCGTTCTCCGCTCGCGCCGGCCGCCCCCATCCATGCGCTCGCGGGGCTGCCCGAACGGGGCTGGGTTTTCCCGAGGCGGGGTCCGGCGCCGAGCTTTTAGACCTAACCAGAGAGGGTCTGGGCAGTGAAGGTAGTCTCCCCCCATCCCCAGGGCCTCCAGGGGTCACCCACTTGTGTCTGTGTGTCGCTCGTGGGTGCCGTCATCATCTGTCCAGCGTCCACCCATACCGCGTTGGTGTCCAGTCCGAGCCTGGCTGTTCTTCACCATACTACATACATACATACCCACTTGGGGGCGGCCCCTCACACGACTGCCCAGCGCCTCGAGCAGCACAGTGGCGTCACATGTGCGGAGATATGGGGAGATACGGGGAGATATGGGGCGATGTTGGGTACGTCTCTTTCTTCTACGGCTCCTACACAGCGCCCTCGTTGCCCACCTAGTGGCAAGTTAAACACAGTCTGTCGTTTCCCCCAACCACCCAATGTCTCGGTTGTACCGCTCGAAGTCGTGCGCAGCTCTGCGCCGCGTAGTTGGTCTTTGTCGGCGGCGACAGGCAGGCACCTTTTTGCCGTCCTTATTTTCTGCTCAATAAGTCTCGGGGGACGAAGGGGTCACACCCGACGACCTCGGGAACTAGCCGGGGCAGTCGGAGAAGTGGCAACTCCGTGCACTGACGGTCGGCCGCCAGAAAACACGCCTCCGTGGCTCGGGTTACACCAATCCTCGCTACCCAACGCGGCCAAAGGATATCCACCTCGAGAACCTCGAGAAGGCCTGTGAACACAACACCTTGCAGCCTCGAGTCGGCGTCTATCTACTCGTTTGGTATGTGAAACAGGATCAATGGTCGTCAGCGGAGCTTGGCGAGAGGCTGACCTAGCAAACGGGAGTCATCCGCCCGCCACCGCGCTCGACGCCGCTCGCACGCGCTCCCTCTTCCGCCTGATCCACCTGCCAAAGACGGGCGGCACGAGCGTGGAGACCCTGCTCTCGCTCGGCCACCAGCCGCACCGCCGGCTATCCAAGCTCGCCTGGTGGTGTGGAGCGCTGGACGCCTCGCCATCGATACGCGCCGCCGGCTGCAGCAGCGGCGTCGGCCGCTCCTCATCGCCGTTCCTGCTCCCGCACGGTGCAGGCCGTCCGGCCACCCCGCTGCTGGTGGTGCTCCTCCGCCACCCGACCGAGCGGGTGCTCTCGCAGTACTACTTTTTCCGCGGCTGGCACACCCACGTCGGCTTGCTCTGTGACCGCCACCCGCCTCGCGACACACTCTGCGCCGCGCCGGAGGCGCGAGTGCGCTGTGGCCAACCTCAGACGGAGAAATCGAGCGTGGACGCATTGCCTAAGCGTATCGATGGGCGCAGGCGGTCGTCTCTCTCGGAGACGTCGCGCGCGCGCAGGCGGAGAGCCTCAGCGGCGAGGAGAGGCTGCGTCGCGAGGCGGCCGCCGAGACGTGGCGCAACGAACTCCCGGGCAGGGCGGCGGCGCGGCGGCAGGCGGCGGCCGCCGCGGCCGCGGAGGCTGCGGGGGACGGAGGCTTCGGGACGGCGCTTCTTCTTCCCGCCCGGCTCGCCGCGCTGTCCTCCCTGGTTGGCGGTGGCCCTCCTCCCCGAGACAGCTGAATGGCATGCACGCACACTGATAGGCCTGCTGGGCGCGTCGCTGCGTCCCGCGTGCGAGCTGCCTCTCGCGGGTGAGAGGTGTGAGTACGCATCTCTATAGGCTCGTGGCGCCGTCCTTTCTGTGGGAGCTGGCTCCAAACCTGCAGCTGCGGCTACTCGACGCATCACCGCACGCTGGCGGCGCGAGTGCCTTGCCTCAGGGCGCGGCGGCAGCTTCCGGCGTCGGCATGTGCGCCAGCTGGCGCGGGCGGTGATTACCCGAGATGACCCGAGACGACCCGAGATTAGGCGTCGGCATGCGCCAGCTGGCGCGGCGGCTCCGGCTCGCGGAGGTGTGTGCGCACGATCTCGGCTATATCTCGGGCTGGCGAGGCACTCCCACGTCTCTCACGGGGTCCCCCCTTGCCCCCGGGGAGGGGGGGTGGGGGGGGGGCGAGGGAACCCGAGCTTCGGCGCGACAGCGTTCAGCTGTTCCCACTGACAGCAGGCTGGAAGTACCTCGCCAGATCTCGGGGGGAGGGGGGGGGGGGGGGTGAAAAATGGTGTCACTCCTCAACAGCACAGGCTGGAAGTACATAGCCTGATCTCGTGTGTGTGTGTGTCTGACTCTCAGCGGTAGAACATCTCGGATGGACCTCGGGGCCAGGGGGCAGGGGGAGGTAGAAGCATGCTCAGTGTGCGCCACCCCACCGCTCCAGCGCTGCCTGCTGCCAGGCGTTTCTGGCGGACAACGCCGACGTCGTCGGGACGACGGACCAGGTCTGCTCACCCACCGTGGCTGCACTTGGGCCTTGCATTTTGAGTGTGCCTCGCCGGCTCCTGCCCGCGGGTGTGGAGACGCGAGCGTCGCCCCAGCACTTTGTGGTGTGTGGAGACGTTTCCCTTCCCTCCCCTTCCCCCCGCCAGCTCGACGATGTCATTGTTACCCTCTGCCACCTTGCCGGCGCTTCGGCCGCCGGAGTCGCGGCGGCTGCGGCCGCCGCCAGCGCATCCCCGGCCGCCGCCGCCAACGGCACCGCCTGGGCGCGTCGGCTGGCGAGGGGCAACGTGCTGCCTCGGTGCGCGCACGCCTCGCCGCGCTCCCAGTAGCGCAGACCGGTAGGCAACCTAGTTTCAATCCCAGCGACCGCGGACCCCCACACACATCTGTGCCACACACATCACTCCCAGAGCGCCACACACGCAGCCACTCTTCCGGCAGGAAACGTGGCCAGAGTGGTGCTCTTGGGAAGAGGTTCCTCCTTTCCACTCCGGTCTCCGCAAGGCGCGAGACACACACACACCAGTTGGCAGTTGAACAAATCCATACTAAACCAGTTGTCGGATTTGGGGAATTGCCTGCTACCCAGGTACCCGAGATTACCCGAGATTACCCGAGATTGCCCGAGATTGCCCGAGATTGCCCGAGATTGCCCGAGACTCCCCCGCGAGACTGCCACCCAGGTACCCGCGCCGCGCGGAGCTCGCCGTAGAGGCACGCGCTTGGCGGCTAGGAGACTGCCCGAGACTACCCGAGATTACCCGAGATTACCCGAGATTGCCCGAGATTACCCGAGACTACCCGAGATTACCCGAGACTGCCCGAGATTGCCTCGAGACTAGGCGCCCAGCCTGCTCGCGAGTCTCGACGCCTCCAACGCGTACGACGCGAGGCTGCACGAGGCGCCCCGCACACCGGCGCACCGGCCGGGAGGGAAGGGGGGGGGGGGGGGGGCATGACGCAGCACAGCCGGCGAAGAGAGACCTCTTCACAGACATCCAGAAGGCGCACGGCCCCGGGCCGCGAAACCGCACACGAGAGGAGCACAGTGACAGCCACAGGCACGCAACACGGCGTCCCTTCAGAATGTGAATGTGACGTCGTTCGCCGCGAGTGTAGGCGGCGGTGCTCCTCGGAAGGCGAAACCGGCACCGTGTAGGTGCGGCGCGTTACGACGCGGCGCTGAGGGCGTTGCGCGCGCTGCGGCTGCCGGCGCGCTCGAAGGTGGCGGCGCCCGCGCGCTGGTACGCGCAGGAGCTGGCCGCGTTGCGCAGGCAGGAGGGGCGACACGAGTTGTGTGCAGCGGGGGGTGATAGGGATTGTCGGGGTGTGCGCGGAAGCTGCGCCACGGACAGCGAGAGGGGGTGGAGGGCCCTGCTCCCCCGCTTCTTGCTCCACCCCTTAGTTACGATGGGTGCGTCCCTCCTCAGCTTGGGGCCACATCGATCCTGCTGAATACTACTCATTTACGTCTGTTTTCGCACTCGTCCACTGGCGGTCGGCGTCGTTTTTGACCGACGCTGTCTCGAGTGACGAGTCTCGCGCCGGCCGGAGAGAGTGGCCTCAGTTGTTGCAAAGTGCTCAAGCGCGTCCCATGTGCACCGCGTCTCGGCCGGCGGGGTGCGATTATCGTGTGACGCAAAAAAAGAAAATCCCCCTCGAATCGCACCTCCCAAGATAGCCGTACAAATCTAGACAACAACAAAATCGACAACAACAAAATCTCTCTCAAATCTAGACGCCTAGACCGGACGCGGAACCATCCACATATCATCACTGGCTCGCGGCAGTAAGGGCACTCTCGCATCAGCTCAGAGCATGGCCCACAAGCACACAGGTGCCCGCACGGAACCGCGCAGCATGCGACTTGACTCTCGCGAAACACACGATACACGTGGTCTCTCCCCCCATCGTGGATTCGGGGGCAGGCAGCCGGCCGCCCCGTGTCGAGGCCGGCGTCCGCTAGCGAGACGGCAGCAAGCGACTCGGTGACTGGCAGATGCTGCTCCGCCGCCTCTCCCGCCTCGATAAGCAATGCCCGTTGCTTGTGCCGCATATTGGACATGCCGCCCGAACGTCGTGCTTTTGTTGCGCGCGCGCGCTGTGTTGCTTGTGTCTTGTGAGCTTGTGTGTGTCTGTGAGTCGCTCGAGCGTGTCGTCGTCAGCTGTCTCGCGTCCACCCAACCGCGTTGGTGTCCAGTCGTTACACACACACAGACACACACACACACACACACACACACACACACACACACACACACACACACACACACACACACACACACACACACACACACACACACACACACACACACACACACACACACACACGCGCAACAAAGGCGCTCTCAAAGAAGAAGAAAAACGGCGGGGAGGAGAGGGGTGGTGCTCGCCGTCGCAATCGGACATGGCGGCGACGTCGCCAGTCATGCTCGTAACCGGCGGCAGCCGAGGCATCGGTGCCGCAATCTGCCGCCGCGCTGCAGCCGCCGGCTACAACGTCATCATAAATTTCTCCGGCCGTTCCGACGCGGCAGAGACGACCGCCGCCGCTGTCCGTGCGGCTGGGCAGCGAGCGCTGACGGTCCAAGGGAACATGGGCCAAGAGGAGGACATTCGCGCGCTATTTTCCGCCGCACATCGGGAATTTGGAAAATTGGACGTGCTGGTCAACAACGCCGGCATCACCGGAGGGAAGAGCCGCGTCGAGGATGTGGACAGGCACACCCTCGAGCAAGTAGCCGCCGTCAACATCGTCGGCCCCGTCCTGTGCTCGCGCGAAGCGGTGCGACGCATGTCAACGCGCCGCGGCGGCAGCGGCGGCGTGATCATCAACGTGTCTTCTCGCGCCGGGGCGCTCGGCGGTGGCGGCGAGTGGATCCACTACGCGATGTCAAAAGGCGCGCTGGATACGTTGACGCGCGGTCTCGCCGTCGAGTGCGCCGAGGACGGAATCCGCGTCGCCGGCGTCGCCCCGGGAATCATCGACACTGACCTGCACGCAGATGCCGGAGACCCTGAGCGAGCCGCCCGGATGGCGGGTGGCATTCCGCTGAAGCGGCCCGGGTCGCCGGAGGAAGTGGCCGACGCCGTCGTCTGGCTGGCGACCGACGCCGCGTCCTATGTCACCGGTGCCACCCTCGACGTCGCGGGCGGTCGTTAGAATGCGTCGGCTAGAGTGGAGAGAGTGAGGCTGATGTATCAGGAAAAAGAAAAAAGAAAACGACGACGGAGCAAACGCTGAGAACCTTTACAATGGAAACCAAGCCGGCACAACTAATCGCACCTCTGATGCAACTTCACGCACACCACACCCTCTTGGTTCATCCATCTTTGCGGGCAAGAGAGGCGGAGGACGGTGGGGCGGGCAAGAAGGCGCCGTTGAGGAGCTCCGCGGTGGCTTGCACGGTGACAGGGGCGAGGGAGTCGGCGAAGGCATGCGCGCTGATGGTGATTCGGTTGAGGCCGCTGGCTTGCCATTTGGCCTGTAGGCATTTAGCCAAATGCCTCGCTCCTCGCACACACGGGCCAATGTCTTGAGTTCCTTGTCGCCAATCTGGTTGGAGTGGAGTGCGAGCGACTCGAGATGTGGGGCGGCTCCCTCCTTCCTGAGGGCGGCTATCAGCGCCTTGGAGCCCTTGCTGCCTATCTGGTTGCGGCTGAGATCGAGCCTCTCCAGCCGCGGTGCCGCCACGCTTGCGAGGACCTCCGCCAGCTGCGCCGCCTCCGCGTCGCCCCAGCCGAGGTTATGGTAGTCCAGCACAGTTGCCTTGCCAAACTGCTCCTCGAAGGCTGCCTCGTACAGCCGCTTCACGAGTGGTGTGTCATCCTTGCCGTTCGTGAAGCTCTTCTTCTCCAGCTCCGCGGCAAACTGCGACGGCAGCAACGGCGGCCGGCGGCCGCCGCCCTTGATGCACTCACCGACGAGATCGCAGTAGAAGCCGTCGTACTCTTTGTCATCGTGCATCAGGCCGAGGTCGAGCGACAGCCTGCCGTCCTTGGTCAGGCTAGCCATGGCGTTCTCGGTGAAGCACCAGCCGCGGTCAAAGTACTCAGCCACATTAGCACCCTCGGGCTGGACCTCCTTCTTGTGGCCTGGGGGTGAGGTCGTCAGCCGCAGCACGATCGTGAACTGGTGTGCGTAGAGCGTGCTGAGGCAGTCAAGCCCCCGCTTGAAAAGCTCGTTCTCCGCGTCGGTGCGCACGACACCGTTGGCGGGGTCGGGGTGCTGGTGCAGCGAGAGATAGTCCCAGAAGACGCCAAGCCGCCGGCCGCCGAATGTGAGAGCCTTTAGCGCCTTTGCGACGCGGCGGAGATTGGCACCGTCCGGGTCAGGGTGGTCTCTGGCGAGCCACGGGTAGGAGAGTGCGGCGACCGGAAGGTCATGTACCGTAGCCTCGACGAGGTCGGCGAGGGAGAGGAAGGCCTCTTCAGGCATCGCCTGGCGGTGAGTGAGGACGCCACCCGCCTCGGCGTGCTTGATGATCCACTGCGCGTCGATGAGGGCGACGGCACCGCTCTTAAGAACCGGCTCCAGGTCACCGCCGCCCTGCGCGCGCCACTGCTTTGTCGTCGAGCTCAAGTGGTTCGGCGAGCAGCGCATTGTCCGAGCCGCGGTTGGGTAATCGCGAGCCGCGATTACCCGCCGTGACAGGATGACGGGTTGCGTAAATTTTTTGTCTGAATTTTCATACCCCTACGTACTACCCCACAACGGGGCTTCTGATAAAAAGAATTCCGGCCGCCCCGACTCCTCTCGTCGGATCGCGTTGATGCCGCCGCCCTCGGTGCCCATCGGCCAGTTCGCCGTCGGGCACCAGCTTCGGGCCGAAGACGGGACCCTTTGGAAGGTCCACGCCACGCTGAGACAGTGCACGAAGAGTCGACTGCCACACAAGAAGGTCGAGCTGTCCTGGCAGCCTTGCGAAGGCCAGAACACGCAGCACCTCGACGATCTTCTCGCAGTCCATGCTCCATGCCGGGGTCGACATGCCGGGGTCGACATCTCCGGGCTGATCGACGAGAGCCTACCGGGATTGTACAAGCACGTCTTTGTTGAGCGCGAGCTGAGCCCGTTCCCCGGCAAGATCTTTCGAGCCTGGCTTTCGAGCCCGTTTCGATCCGGGTATTTTGACAACCCACATGACGCGGCCGTGTGCGTCGCGCGATGGCTCGACGAGGCGCCGTCTCCACACGCGCTCACCCCTGCCCACAACCAAGAAGACGACGGCGCGGGCTCGTCAGAGCGTGCAGCGCGCCTTCGCCAGCGGAGGAAGCGGAAAGCCAGCTGCGCAGGCGGGAGCGAGGAGAAGGAGGAGGAGGAGGAGGAGCAAGAGGCGGTGGTTGAGGGGGGGGAGGAAGAGGAGGAGAATCGCGACAGCGACGGTGGGCTGGACGGCGGCGCAGTTCAAGGGTCCGAGGATCCGCCACAGCTGCCACCACCGCAGCTTGCGCAAGCGCCTACAGGACCGGCTGCCGCTGCTGCTGCGGGCGTACAGGCGCCGGCGCCGGCGCCTGTGCTCGTACCGGCGGCGCAGCCCCCACCCGCGGCGCCTGCACCCCTACCCGCCACGCCCGCCGCGCCCGCCGCGTTCGCGCCTGCGGCTTCGCCTCCTCTCGCATCGCCACTCGCTGAACTTGAGCAGCGCATCAGTGGCGCGAGCAGCCAGGGCCCGCCCGGGATCCGCATCCGTGGGCTCGAGGAGTTTGCCGGATTGGTTCCAACCAGCCCGGCCCTCCGTGACCGCCTTGAAGCGATCCGTGCTTGGGCCGAAGCCAATGGATTCTGAGTCTCGCGCATGACACAGCTCTGTCTTTGCACTGTGCCTCAGACTGTGCTCTGTGCGACGAGGTTCGTTTCGCATCACTCTTATGTCTTGTGTCTTGTGGTCCCTTCCCCCCCCGGCGGCCCCGCCGACCATCCCCGGGGATCATGCCATCCGAGATCCATATCCTCGCGCCTCGTTGCCGGGGAGAGCCTTCGTCGACGTCGTGCGCTTACTCGCCTTCCCATGCCGCCGCAGCCTTTGCCGGGGAGAGCCTTCCCTTTTCTTGCATTTTTGCTCTCTTCTTGAAGAGAGCAAGCAAGCCCACCCACTCTTATATAGTCACCGCTTTACAGTGGTGTTTTTGTCGCAGAGGCTGCAGCCTCTGCTGGGGCGGAACGCGCGGGGTTTTCGGCGCGATGCCCTCGGCGAGTACACGCTACAGCACCGCCGCAAGCTCTCCTGCGCGCGCGTGACGTGTGGGACGCGTGCGCTGCGCTCAAACGTCGCGATTTGGCAATAGGCGCTCGAGCCGGCGCACAGCGGACGGGTGCGCCGTGCAGGGGCGGGGTCGCTCGGGGGGGTGCGAGAGGGGGCGTGGGTCGGGCGCGCACCGGCCGGCCCTGGGAACGGCCGTCACGTCGAGGTGGGGGGTTGTCCAGTCATGATGTGCAGCGACCTTCATATGCCAAGCAATGTGGATGCTCGACAGACGGGCACGCGAGCTGCCTGTCGTGCGGCGGGCGAGTGTGATGGCAGGAAGGCGCGCGGGCGAAGGTCGGAGTTTCCGAGAGGCCGCGGGCCCCCACGCCTAGGGCCCTAGGCTAGGCATTCTCGCGGCTGGTTCACTCCCGGGAACAGACATCCCTAGCCAATAATGTGGATGGCTCGTGGCACTATAGCTATGAGCATGCTGACGAGCGCCGGGGCCACAGGCTCTGAGCGCCTCGCGACCCGATGACATGTGTGCGTGGAGATTGATTGATGTGTGCTGACCAGTGGGTCGTGTGGTGAGCGCGTAGGCGCGGGCGGTCGGCGCAGGGGGGGCTCCTGGAGGGGGCCTCAGAAGATTTTAACACACAGTGATGTGACAATCGGTCTCGATGTGACTGACTGGCCCGCACGGTGCCCGTCCATCGGAGTCGTCCGGGTTGTCGTGCGACTGAGCTGTGTTCCGAGACTGATACACGCGTATCTGTGTCGCGGTGGCTAGAGCGAGATTGCGAGTGAAAAAATAATCAATATTTCGCGACCTCCCCACCGCGGCCGGTGCGGTGATGGCACTGTATGTAAGTAGAATGTAGTCTGTCCGTGGAATCAACGGGGTTGTTCGGCGCAACAACATGGTGGCTCCCGCCAAGCAGGCCCGCGCCGCCAAGTTCCAATCCGTGCAATCAGTGAGCCTGACGGAGAGTATGTGTGCCATCGCAGTAGTTAGGAGAAGTGGGAAAAGCTGGGGTCGCGCCCCTTACTCAGCTTGCACCCCAGCTGCGATCTTCATGTTCAAGGGCCTCCCTGTATTCCGCTGCAGATGGTCCAGCGTAAAGATGGTGTCCTCCATACATGTGGATCAAGTCCCTTTCAACACGTTGCAGCATCATCTGCTGATCTGCCGTTTGCGCCTCTGCCGCGCCCGCCCACAAGAAGCACAAGATCAAGAAGGAGCACAAGCCCGATTCCAATCAAATTTTGGGCCTCGACGCAGCCTTGTGCCGCCTGCGCACGCGCTGGCCGCTGCAGCTGTACACTCTCAGAATACGTACATGCACTGTACAATGGGCTGGGCTGCATCTCGCACTCCGCGCGCGTTTTCTGCCACCTACGCCAGGCACCCCAGCTCGCGCTGCCCATCGGGGCTCATGGGAAGCGGGAAGCTCAGCAGGAGAGTGGCCAGCCAGCCGTCGGCCGGGGACGGGAGCACCGCGAGCTCATCGGCCGCGCAGGCTCCGCTCAAGCTCGACAGGCCCGCCACGCCAGGGACGCGAGCAGAGCAGCGCGACTGCCACGCCCCGTCGACGTGCGAGTCCACCACGTGGACGAGTCGCCCATTGAAGGGCGCTCCAGTGTTGCTCACTCGCTTGTACGTGAGCTCGAAGCTCTCATTGCGGGCGCGCGCCTCGGCTAGCAGGCGCCGCAGTTCGAGCGCCGGCAAGAGGTACGGGAGCTGGGGCGCCTCCGAGTCCGGCTTCATTCCGGGCAGCACGCCCACCACCCGCGTGGTCGACGGGCCAAACTCACGAGCAGAGTGGCCCGCCTGCGCGAGGAGCGCCCGGCTCCGCTCGCTCAGCATGGAGGTGCTCTCGGCGGGGTAGAGGTCACGGATTAGGCGACTCGTCGTGCCCTGCACCTCCACCACGCCGCCCGCGAGGGGGCCTGCGGGGCGATCGGACGGTGGCAGAGTGGCAGTGGAGGCGGCAGAGACGGGTGGGCAGGAGGCGGGACCGACGGGGAGGGTGGCGGCGAGAAAGCGAGGCGAGGGGGAGGGGAGGCGAGAGGGCGAGGCCGAGGAGGGGGGGGGGGGGGGGCTAGCAGCGGCGAGGGAAGCTCGCCACCTGCCTCCGCGGGCGAGGAGTGCTCGTAGAGCGCCTGCAGCAGCCCGGTCGGGACCAAAACGTGGTTCATTCCCGTGACGACGGCGGTCGGACCGTGCAGGTTCGCAAACATATTGCAGGCCGCCATGTCCTGCAAGCCGAGCACAGGCAGCGCAAACGCGTACGTGGCGCACAGGGCGAGCACCACTGCGGTAGAGGAGCGCGTGACGCGATCGACCAGCGTGGTCAATGGTGAGCAAGCGGGCGCCCTCCGTGGGCCAGCCTCTCGGATGCGCATCGAGAGGCGGAGGGCCTGCAGGTAGATGAGGAGGAGGACGATGAAGACTGGGAGCGCGCCCTGCAGCGTTACCCGGTATTGACTGCCCGCAACGCCGACGGCGGCAGCCACGGAGGCGATGAGCGCCAAAACGCGCGGATCGGCGAGCGCGCCGACGGCAGCTCCGCGCATCGAGGCGAGTGAGCGCAAGAGCGATCGCTCGGCGGCGGCCGTGGCGGCCGGGAGGAAGAAGAGGTATCGCACCACGACTCCGACGGAGAACCCGCCCGCGTTGTTTGGCGGAGGCGTGAGCGCGATCAAGAGGTGGAAGAGCAGGCCCAGCCCGAGCCCGCAGCGTCGCAGGGCGGGCCGCGAGCCCTGCGCGAGGAGCAGCGGGATGGTGGCCTCAACGAGGACGGCGATCCACGGCGAGGCCCGCGCCACGAGATTGGTCACCGCTGGAGGCGCCAGCGCGGGCGGAATGTACTCGGCAACCAGTTGCAGCGTGAAGACGGGCGCGCAGGATGACCGCGGGTCGAAAAAGGAATCGTTGAGCTTCCAGAACGCGGCCGCGGCGTAAAAGACGACCAGCGCCGTCCGCACGGCTGGCGCGGCGCGTGCGACCACGCGATGATGGCCGTCCGATCCGCCCTCGACAAGGTGGCCGACCATCGCAACCATCACCAGCAGCTCAGTGAGCAGGTCCCAGAGCTCGTGGTCCCAGACAAAAGGCGCACGGGAGGCGTGCAGCCAGACATTCGCGGCGTGGGCGGCGAGAAGGAGCGGCACGCACGCGGGCGCGTACAAGGCTCCCGCAAAGATGGGCAGCACCCACGCTGCGCGCGGGTCGGAGCGCACTTTCGCCGCCATGAAAGACTTATCGCCCATTCCTGCTGGACCCGACGCGCCGAGCGCGCGGGCCACCAAGTCGAAAAGGCCCGACTGGAGCAGCTGCTGGAGCGCCCATAGCCGCCCGTACGTGGCGAGGGGATCCGGAACAGAAGCGAGTGTGCCGCCGCCAGACTCCACCTCCCAATGTTGCAGGAGGTCCCACAGCTGAGCGCTCGCGCTCACCGCGTCGAGGCTGAGTGGCGGGCGGGGCGGCGGCAGCGGCGGGGCGAGCCCCGCTTCGAAAGCAACCTCGGCACGGCGGCGCTGGAGCGACCCGACGGCCAGCACACTGCCGTCAAACCACCAGGGAGAGTAGGTGACGCGAATTGCGCAGCCGTCGGAGCCGTCGGCCCAACGAAACGGAACGCGGCTGTCGATCACCGCGGCGTCGCCCGCGCAGAGGGCGATGCGCTCCGGCCGAGTTCGACCGAGAGGCCGGACGAGGAGCGCGCATTCGGAATGCGCGACAAAGACGTGCAGCGCGAGGACGGCGTCGGAACACATTCGAGCGAGCGGCGGGGTGCTGACGCATGGAGTGAGGGCGGGGTCGTGCGGCCACGCGCAAGAGAGCTCCCCATCCCTGCCGCCACCGCCGCTGGCGGCAAAGGCCTGCACGTCGCTAATACGGACGAACTCGCCCAGGGAGGCGCGGGCGAGGGTGCAGACGGCCGGCGCATCAAGGTAGCCTCCCTCCGCCGCCTCGGCGACCGAGAAGCGGTCCCACGTCATCGCCCTCCCGTTGCCAAGACGGGCCTGCCGGAGGACGTGGAGCCCGTCTTGCCCGAGAGCAGCGCGCGCGGCTGCGGCTTCCTCCTCCTGCGGCACGCCTCCCGGCGCCGGCGGGGCCAGCGGCGGGGAGGGCGCCTCCGCCGTCGGCGGCAGCCAATGCTCGTACAGCGCCGCGGTCCGCCGCTCCGCACTGCTCGCAGCAGCAGCGAGCTCGGCGTACACGCCGGGAGGGACGGGCGGCTGTGCCGGGTTTCCGAGGGGGATTCCACCCGTGTCAGGTCGCCCCGCGCCGTCCACGATGCGGCGGCGGGCAGCGGAGCCGGGCATGACGACGCTTGTGTCGAGCCACCAGGGGGCGTACCGCACCGCGACCGCGACGCGAGATGTGGACGTCGGGTTGGGCGGAATCGCGTGCCACAGCCGCGAGTCCATCACAAGCACTGAGCCGGCCTTGCCCGTGGCGCGAACCTCCTGCGCAAGGGCCGCCGTCGGGTCGGAGAGCACGCCTGGAGCCGTCGGGTTGGTTGTGGCCCGGTGCGAGCCAGGCAGGAGGATGGTGCCGTTCTCCTCGTTCATCGGGTCGAGCATCCACAGCGTCGTCAGGTGGCAGGTAGCGTCCGCGTACGGCGCTCCGAGGTGGGCCGAGCCGGTCTGCGCAAACGGCCAGTCCGCGTGCCACGCCTGCCGCTGTGCACCTGGATGATTGGTCTGCCCGGTGGTGAAGGTGATCTTTGCGGCGCCAAAGAGAGACTCGACGATCCGCATGATGTCGGGGCTCGCGAGGTATGGCGCCAGGGACTGGTCAAAGCCAATCAGCCCCGGCACGTGCCCGATGCAGGCGGGCGCGTTGGGATTGTGGTGCCTCTCTGTGGTCCGCAGGATGCTCTCCCGCACCACGGCCACGTCGCGTGGCGGTATGACGCCCTCTAGCACGCAGAATCCGCTCTCCTCCAAGGAGTGGAGCGCAGAGGCCGACGCCGGCGGCATCGGCGGCTGAGCTGTCACGGCGAGATCATCCACGCCGCACACGGGGTCGCCGCTCTTGACGAAGCGGCTCTTGCCCGCCTGCAGCGACTCCGCCAGCCGAAGGAGCGCCGCCCACTCGAACCGGCCGTGAGAGTACGGCCCTCCCGGCCCAAGCTGCGTGCAGGCGTGCGCCAGGCTTGCGGCGGGCGGCTGGAGGTGCGGCGCCGAGCCGACGCGGCACTGAACCTCGCACATTCGGTCGAGGTAGTAGTACCGCACCCACGCCTCCGCCACCGTTCTGCCGGTGGTGACGGCGCCGTGGTGGCGCATCAGCAGCGTGTGCGCAATCGGGCCGAGCGCAGCGGCGATGCGCGCCTTCTCGTCATAGTCGTCCGAGACGCCCTCCCACCCGTGGTAGGCGACGGCGTCGACAAAGGCGCCCGCGTCCTGCGTGAGCAGCTGCAGCCCCCCCTCGAGGCACGACACCGCGACCACGGCAGGGGTGTGGTGATGCACGATCGCCCGCACGTCCGGCCGGGCCGCGTAGATGGCGGAGTGGATCACGTCGGCCGTCACGTTGACGGCTTGCGGCGAGGAGAGCGACAGGTTGAGCGGCGTCACCTCGTCGAAGAGGGCGTCGCCCGGAGTGACGAGGAAGCCCGCGCCCGACGGGAGCCTTGCCGAGATGTGGTTCCAGGTCAGCTCATCGAACTTGAAGTGGTGGGAGAGCGTGTGCGCCGCGGCGAGGTCGCGCCGCACCGCGTGCTCGGCAAGGTCGCGGTTCGCGGCGGGCACGCCCTCGAGCCTCACCCGGTGGTGCAATCGCTCGCCCACGCACGACGAGCCGACGAGCGGCGCGTGCAGCGTCAGCCGATTGTCGAAGAGCGCCAGGTCGCCCTCGCGCCAGCGGTGCGCATACACGTACGGTGGCCGCGTCACGACGCCCAGCAGCGCCGCGACGAGCTCGTAGCTCGCCGCTGTGTCGAGGCGGAGAGCAGGCGAGTCGTGCTCGTCCGCAGGCGCGACCATGAAGTCGATGTTGGCGCACGAGAGGTACAAGGCCTCCTCTCCCGTCTCCGGGTGCGTGCGCACGAGAGGGTGGCAAGTGCGGGCGGGAGGAGCAGGCGGCGAAGCATCTTTCTCTCTCGGCTGCCGGCTCTCGCGCACGATGCCTCCCTGCATGATGGGCAGACCCAGCGATTCATCGTACACATAGTGGACGGTGATGCGCCGGCAGAGCGCACGCATCGCCGGGCCGAGGCGCGACAGCGCCAGCCGTGAGCAGGCAAAGAAGGTCTCCCCGCCCGCGAGCGGCGCCTTGACGCACCGCATGCTCGTCAGCACCGGCGGGCTGTGCTGCATGTTGTGCATGCCGTCGCTGTGGTAGCCCTCGTTCTCAAAGGTTAGCAGAGGCGTGAGCTGCACGCCGTCAATCCCGTGGTGGTCGAGGAGCTGCACGTTGCCCTGACACACCACCTCTGGCACGTCGGGCAGCGCCGCGAGCCCCGCCACTTTGCCCTGCCACCCAAAGAGACTTCCTGCTCCGCCCGTCGCCTGTTCGGTAGCGTGGTAGCCGGCGAGCTGTGCGACCTGCAGCTCCTCTCGAGGGGTGAGGCTCGTGTCGCGAAAGACGACCAGGCCGTGAGCACGGATGAGACTGCGAATCTCCTCCCTGCCCACCTCCGGCTCCGCCAGCCAATCGTGAAGCACGCCACCGTCGCACACCTCGGCGAACGGGACGCGGTCGCCGAGCTTTCGCACGTCGGGCGACATGGTGAAAGCTGACGCGCGCCTGCTCCTGGCTGCTGACTGCGCAAGGCGCCGCCGCCGGCTGCTGACTGCAAGAGGCCGGCTGGGGCACCGGCCGCCACGTACGGGGGAGCAGAGGGGGACAGAACCAGGTTCGTTGTGTGTACGGTACTTGTTACGTGAAAACCCGCTGGGACCCGGACGCCAGCACACACGGCTAGATCGTTGTGAAGAGTGGGCGCGCCACCCAAGAGCCTAGGTAGGTGCGGATCGGCAAGGCGCAACGATCTTTTTGCCTTCTTATATCATCTTGTGATCTAAGTACTAAGAACTTGAAAGCAAGCAACCACGCACCAGGGGGCGCACAGCAGCACGGATAGCCGTTTGTCTATAAATATATACGCGCGACCTCCCGCGAGCGCGGCGGGATCGGAATTGCGGCCGGAGGGAAGGGCGAGCCGCCGCCGCCGACGCCATACCATCAGCGACGACGACTGCGGCCCGCCCCAAACGCCAGGCGCTGGATCGGCAGTAAAACTCGGGGGCACAGGACGCGGCACAAACGGGGTATACCAAAAGGCACGGGCTGCCTGCACGGCGTTCACTCGAACGCCATGCACATGGCGCGGAGCAGCCCCGCCCGGGTTGGTGTCGAACCCGAGCGGGTCCTCCTCCCAATCCCGGCGCCCACCCTCCGCGTCGTCCTGCTCATCGTGCGCGTCGAGCACCCTGCCGAGGCACAGGATCGTCCCCTTGGGAACGCCTGCCCCTCGCGCGCGTGGGAACTCTCCCTGCACCGACATCACGAACTTCTCGCGCGCCCACTTGCCGCCACGGCGGCAGTGCTGGGGCGCGCGCTCGCGCAGCTCCTCGTAGAGCTCCTCGGCCCTCGCCACTTCCGCCGCCCAGCCCTCCGCCGACGCCTGAGCCGACTTCTTCTCCCGACAATTTCCTTCCCCAAATAAACGAAAAAGGAAATGCCCGGGGCGGGGTGGATGGGTTGGGAGCGAGGGGGCGGAAGTGATCAGTGCGGTAGATGGTAAGCTCGAGGCGCGTGAGCCGGACCTGTGAGCCGGACCACCCCCTCTTGTTCCCTGCGTTGTTGAGCCAGGACTCAACATACTCGGGCTTTCATCCCAAACTGTCACTCCCCTCTCTCCCGGCCGGGGTGGGGCGCGCGCGGGGGCAGCGGGTGTGCGGGATGTCTGTGGGCCCGAGAGCGATATGCCATGTCCGCCTTGCGTTTGTTTCATTATAACATCGAAGGCTAAGCTCAAAAGGAAATTGTCGGGAGAAGAAATCCCCGATCACACTGCACCCGAAGGCGGCCTGCGCTGCGGCTGCGGCGGGCGAGGACGCCACCGACGACCTGTGCGGCGTCACGTCCAACCGGAAGAAGCAGGAGGTCTACTCGCCGACGGGCGACCTCTCCTTCCTGCCGGCGGCGGTTCGCGGCTCGCCCCACCACGCCGACGGGCGCCTGCTCGTCATCAAGGTGCTCGGGACCTTCCTGGGCGACGCCGCTGAGGCCTCGCGCCGCCTCGTCGAGCGGGTGCGCCGTGCGCTGGCGCCGCTGGCGGGGCGGGAGGGCGTGTGCGGCCTCCACGACACGCGGCGGTGCAACCTCGCGCTCCAGATCCAAATGACGCTCAACCGCTTTTGCGCAAACGCCTCCCTCAACTACTTCCTCCGCACTATGCCGGAGGAGGCGACGCGGGAGGCGGCACGGCTGCACGATCGGCTCATCGGCGAGGCGTTCAACGAGCTCACGGCGGGGCGCCTGAGCTCGACGGCGCAGCGCAGGGCGGCGCTGCAGCAGGCGCGGCTGCCAGTCAAGCTCGGCGGCGCCGGCCTCACCTCCATGTCGGCGGTGGCGGCGGCGGCGGTGGCGGCGGCGGGGGCGGCGGCCGGGCAGGCGGAGGCGGAGTCGGCGGTCGAGCAGGCGCTGGCGGCGGTGTCTCTCAAGGCGCGGTACGCTCGCGAGGCGCGCGTGCGCGGGGCGGCGGGCGGCGGCGGTGGCGGCGGCGGCGGCGGGGATGCTGAGATGCGGGCCGCCGAGGGCAGCGAGGGCGGCGAGGGCGGCGAGGGCGGCGGGGGCGGCGGGGGCGGCGAGGGCCGCGAGGGAGGGGAGGCGGGAGGCGCCACTCTAGGAGGCGGGGGCGGGGCTGGCGCGGCGGGGGGCGGCGCCGGCCTCGCCGCCGGTGGGGGCGCGGAGGGCGCCGAGTCGAGGGCGGCGGAGGCGGCCAAGGCGGCGGTGGGCCGCGGGCTGCGCGGCGACGAGGTGGTGGACGCGATCCGACGCGCGGGCGTGGTTTTGCTGCCGGTCCACCTCGACGTCGCGCGCCGCCAGGCGCGGCTGGTGGCGGCGCACGCCGCCCTCGACGCCAAGTACCGAGAGGACAAGAAGACGTACTATTTCTACGACAAGACTGGCCGGGCCTACCGCATCTACAACCCGAGAGGGCTGCCCCCGGCGCATACATATCTTCCGCTTACCGAATGGAGCTCGCGCAGCAATCTTCTACAACACGCTCAGCGCCGATACTCCGCGACGATTCACCATTCGGCCTGGAGGGACATGCATGCGGCGGCGGGCCGCGCAGGGAGGAGGGAGCAGGTGCGGTTTGTCTCGGTCAGCCAGTTCGGCGCGGGCGCGTTCTTGAACGCGATCCCGACCCGCGCGCACTTCCGTCTGCCCTCGTACGTGCTGCGCTTCGCGCTGCAGCGCCGCTTCGGATTGCACCTGTCGATGATGACGGACGTTATGGCGGACGGCATCTACAGCCAGCACGGTCTGCCCTTTGACGCCCTCGGCGACGTGGCGCAGAACGACGGCGCGGCGGGCCACCAGACGCGGCACAAGGAGGTCCTCCTGGACCTCGTCGAGCTGCTGCGGGGCAAGCTGGGGCGCGGCGCTGTGGAGCACGAGTTTCACTGCGAGCACAGCACTACGAGGACGGACTTGTACATTTACCAGGGCGTGATTGGGGACCTGCCATGCATCGGCGACACGAAGATCTTTGCCGGTGTGCCGTCGGACCCCTCGGGGGCGGGGCGCATGGGGGCGTTCGTCGCTTGCGGCAACACGCTGCCACGCGCCCGCGAGACGGTTCTGGGCGTGGAGGGCGGGGACAGGGGTGGGAGGGTGGGACGGTGGGATCCGCGGACGGGGACCGGGACGGTTGAGGCTGTCAAGGGCCAGTACACGGACGCAGAGGGGAAGTGCCATGTGGAGGCGTTGCTCTTCGAGGAGTTCGGCGCAATGAGCGCGGGGGTGGAGGAGCTGCTGATGCGGGTGGCTGAGGTGGCGGGCCGGAAGCTCACGTGGTGGCAGTACGACCAGACGTCGTGGTCGGCGCGCGAATGGATGCCGTTTGCGCTGCAGCGACTGTCGGTGCAGCTCTGGGTGGCGCTCGCGGACGAGGCACAGCGCGCCATTGGTGCGGCGTCGCGCGACCGCGAGGGACCGCGGGGGAATGCTAGTGGGATGGGGGGCTCTGAGGGGAAGGGAGCGGGGGGCGCCCAGTAGGGCGCCGGCACCCCAGCGTAGAGGGCGTAGGTAGGTAGGTAGAAAGGTGAAGAACAGCCAGGCTCGGACTGGACACCAACGCGGTATGGGTGGACGCGAGACAGATGATGACGACACGCACGAACGACACACAGACACAAACAAGCTCACAAGACACACAGCCAGCTGGCTGCCACACACCCTGAGTGGGCGTATACATAACTCAGGGCCGGCGTCGTGTAGCCCTCCTTTTGGTATAAAAATATCAGGGCGGCGGCGGCGAGGGCGTCGGCGACGGCGGCGGCGGCAGAAAACCAGCTCTTGACTGATGGCATCCCCAGACCTCCCTCACCTCGCGGCCGTTTGTGCGATTATGGTCTCGCTGTCGGTACTGATCAGTGCAAGGGTTGGTATTGGCGCAGCGAGCGCTGGCGCCACGCCAGACCACTACACCAGTGCCGGTGCGAGGCGCTCGCTCGAGCACTACACCGGTGCAAAGGTGCAGGCGGAGAAGCCCGAGGCTCTGTGGGGGCTCGACAACATCCACATGGTCGCCGAGCCCTTCCCTCAGCGCCTGTAGCACTCGTGACGACCGCCGGTGCCCTCAGCGCCTGTAGCACTCGTGACGACCGCCGGCACACCGGCACACTCCTCCATTTTCCATTGCTCCTCAGGGCTACTACCCGCACCTTTCGGGCGATGGCTTCGTGCGGCTCTCCTTTGCACAGGCCGCCGACGCGCTCACGCAGCGTATGGTTGAGGCCGCCGGCATCAATCACGAATCCACCGTGCTGGACCTCGGCTCGGGCAGAGGGCTCGCCTGCCTCCAGATAGCGCAGTTCACGGGTGCTGCTTGCGTCGGCCTCGACCTCACACCCGGCAACGTGGCGCGCTCGCGGGAGCTAGCATCCCAGCACCCGGAGCTCAACCTGATGTTCGTCGAGGGAAGCTTCACGAGCTTGCTGGCGTCGGGCGGGCAGCTCGTGGTGAGCGACTTTGTCGCGGGATTCGGGAGGGTGGAGGCCTCGGCGGAGACACGCCTGCACTGGTACGACCGCACCTCCGTGCCGTGCTGCTTGCACAGCCACGCACAGTGGACCGAGCTGGCCGAAGCGAGTGGCCTCCGGCTCCTGCGCTACGAGGCCCTGGACGAGCACCAGCAGCACGGCTACCTCGAGCTCGCCGCCGCGGCGCGGGCGCACGGCATGTTCGCGCTAGCAGACTCGTACCGGTGGTCGGCGCAGTCGGTCCGTGCAGGGCACGTTGGAATGAACCTCGCCCTCTTCTCTGCTCGCGGCGGGCGACTGGCGGGGAGCCAAGAGGTGAACAACGCGGCGGCGGCGAGTGGCGGAGCGGCGGAGTCGACGACGGTAGTGGGCCTCGCTCCAGAGCTCGATACCAAAGGAGTCGGCGCGATTGGCTCTGCCGCCGCCGCCCAGCACTACTACACCGTGGCGGGCGGCAGCCGCGGACATTACAACCGCATCCTCGGGCCGGATAACATCCACACCGGCTACTACCCGCACCTCTCCTCCCCGTCTCTCGTGCGGCTCAACTTGCCTCAGGCCGCCGACGCGCTGACAGAGCGAATGACTCGGCTCGGGCGCGTCAACAGCTCCTCGCGCGTCCTCGACCTGGGCTCCGGCAAAGGGCGGTCCTGCCGGCTGCTGGCGTCGCTGACGGGCGCGGCTTGCGTCGGGGTTGACCTCACGCCAGCCAACGTGGAGCGCAGCAAGGAGGCGGCGCCGCCCGGCCTCCGCCTGCGCTACTTTCACGGCAGCATGACGGCCCTGCCAGTCGAGGCGCTGACCGAGCCTGAGGGCGCGGGCGAGCCTGCTCTCTTCACTCACGTCTTTGCGCAGCTGAGCCTGTGCTACGTGCCGAAGGAGGTGGCCGCCGTACTCGCCCAGGCTCGCAAGGTCCTCGCGCCGGGTGGCCTCCTCGTCTTCGCCGACCACACCGCGGGCGACGGCCAGTTCGAAGGGACGGCTGCGACGCCGCCTCAGAGCGCCGGCTGGTACCGCCGGCTGCACATGGGCAGCCCGCCTCGCTCTCATGGCGCGTGGCGGAGGCTCCTTCACGAGGAGGGCTTCACGATTCGCTTTTACGAGAACATCGACGACCACATGGCCACATCATATCGAGACGCGGCGGCGACAGCGAGCTCGCTCGACCTGGTGAGCCAGGACGGAGTCCCGGTCGCAGAGCAGTACCGAGAGCAGGTCTGGACCCTCGAGGAAGGCCACAACGGGATGTTTATTGCTGTCGTCTCACCGTAAATAAATAGAGTTGAGGTGGGTAAATAGCCCTGGTCGGGCCGATTCTTTTGCGGTATCTCCCCCTCCTATCTCCCTCTAAGCTCTAGAGATCTGCCGTCTTCCCCACCCCTACACCCTCTGTGTATCGCGCGCCTTGCGGGGGGGGCGCGGAAAAGAGGAACCTCCTAGCGCCCTCTGTTGCGCTTTTGGGAGAGGTGTTCGAAAAATCGAGGGACCGGAGGGCTTTCGCGACAGCGACGATGACGACGAAGGCAGGGGGGGAGACGGAGGGGCGACACGCAGGAGGGGCGAAATCGCGAACGGCCCGAGCAGAGAGGGCGACGGCGGAGCACGAGGGGGCAACGGAAACGCTACCAATGACGCGAACCGAGGCACGGGCGACGACGGGGACGGGGAGGGCGACAGCGATGTCGAGGTTGACGCAACGGTATCGAGAGCGCCACCCAAAAGGGGACGGACAGCCATGGAGGTCACCGAATGGAGGGCGAACGGCACGATAAAAGCTTTTAGTAAAACGGTAAAAGTTTGATCGATCAGCTGCACGAAACTCACCTACTCACGTCAGTGTAGATCGAGTCACACTGGTGTCTCACAAAGTACATACACAGAACATCGATGCACGAGATCTAGGTTGTACAGAACAAGCAAAGACCAAGGTCGTCGTGATCGTGGCTTCATTCAACCGCGCACCGCCGATGCGCCCCATCCTCGCCCACCCATCCTCGCCCACCTTACGCCTTAGCTACTGTACCTACGTGCATAGCCGCCCCAGTCGTTCACTGCCTGTCGTTGGAGGGAACCACGCTGAAGGGCTCCTTGGGAGCCAGCATGTTGTAGTACAGAAACGGCAGTGCGTCCGCGCTTACGTTGAGCCGCTGCAGGAGCGCTGCGTGCGCCGCGCGGCCCCACGCAAAGCTCTGACTGGACGCGGTCGGTGAGATGAAGACAGCGCCGATCATCGCCTCCAGCTCTGGCTCCCACGGCGACTCCTCTGTGTCGAGGATGATCTCATCAAAGAGCCACGCCGCGGGATTCTTGTGGTCGGTGCAGTTGCCGAGGCACGGCCCTCGCGGCCACGCATACAGGTCTTGCATGGTCATCATCTTGTCCAGCTGCGTCGGTGGAAACGTGGTGCAGCAGTGCGCCATCTGAGCGGCCATGCCCAGCGGCGTGCAGCCTGGGCCCTGTGCGGAGACGTCGCACCACAAGCTACGCGCAGGGCAGCCGGCGTGCGTCACGTTGGGCCGGTTGTACTGGGTCGAGTAGATGTCGCGCCACGCGAGGCACGAGAGTCGCGAGATCACCTGAGCCGATGGCTTCAGGACGATGCCAGGCAGCTCGCGCCACTGGGGTGGGCACGCCAGGAGGCAGCGGAAGGGCGTGGGATGCCGCGCGTTGAGCAGCGAGGCGGCGAGGTGGCCGCCACTGGGCCGCACGAGGCCGCGAAGTGGGTCGTCTAGCTTGGGTGCGCCGTGTACGAAGCCTCCGGGCACAAGGTCGATGCCATCTCCATCGAAGACGTGGACGAGGACGCCAGCGGCTGTCCAATCGTTTGAGGGCTTGCCTTGGGCCCATCGCCGGTTCAAGGCCTGGTGCAGTGCCCCCCTCGACGACGCCCACTCGTCGGAGCCGCTCGCAGCGAGCGTGGAGCCAAAGAAGCCCCACCGCTCGAACTGCGAGCACAGGTATGGTGCGAGGTATGCGGATCCTGCTCGGCTCAGATGATGGCTGTCCGCGAATGCGACAACGTCTGTGCCGGGCACCATCGTGTTGCACACTCCGTCTGGCGCCGTCGATGTGCAGAAGAGGGGCGCCAAGTCGAAGAAGCGCGTGTGCTCGTTGCCATCCGCGAGCGCGCTTGCTTCCCGCGAGCTCGCCGCGCCGCCGAACTGGCGCGCAGCGTCCGTGTAGCTTCGCTGGCAGGAGGGGCTCGTTGCGTGATTCAGGCACGATAGCGGCACCTTGGGCAGCCCGCCAAAGACGTCGCCGAAGAGCAGCAGCTGCGCGCCCTTACTCGAGACGAGAGGCACCAGGGTGTTCCGGTAGTGATCGGCAACGAGGCGCGCTTGCGACGCATCCCGCCACGGCGCCCACCACGACGCCACGGCGACGACATCGCCGCTGCGCAGCTGCGAGGTGAGGGTGGTCACCAGATGGCGCTGATAGAGCGTCGCCGTCTCGAGGCTGTCCTGGTCGCACCAGCCGTAGAGTGCTGGCGGGAGCGGTGGGCACATGCCGCGGGCGGTCCACGCGAGCGTCATGCGACCGGCGAGGGCTTTGCGGATGCCCTCCGTCAGCATCGCGGCGTGTGAGTCGCCGATCAGGAACAAGGTCGGCTGGTCTGAGGCGCCTCGATCGGGCGTGAGGCATGCGGACGCCGTGTCCTGCACCTCCCAGAACGTCATCGGCCCGTCCACCGACGTCAGCGGGTTGTGCCACGGCTCTTGGCAGCACCGTTGCTCATATATCCAACGGCTGTGGTCGTCGCCGTTGACAGGCAGGCCGTCGGCGTCGAAGCACGGCAGCGGCGAGTGCGGATCCAAGCCTGGCGGGCTGTGTAGCGTCTTGCCGAGGGCTCCGTGGGCGTTGGAGCAGGCGCAAGAGGAGTGAGGGGCGTTCTGCGTCGGAGGGGTGGGTGTGGGCGGCGAGGCGGAGGCGGAGACCTCGCGTGCGGACGGGTAGAGGCTGCCGTACAGTGGGCCCTGAAGGAGAACGATGAGCAGCACGAGCGAGACGAAGACCGGCAGGAGCACGAGCGGCACGCGCCGTTTGGGCACCGGCCGCCAAGCGCGAAAGGGGCGCTCCACCCAGTGGTAGAGCAGCGGGTCGCCAAGCGGCTCGTCCCCAAGCAAGCACGGGAATGTCGCCGCGGACCTCACGCCAGCCAGGCACGCCACGAGGTCCACGTCACTAGCATCGAGCGCTAGCCCGCTCGCGACGGAGCCGACGACAGCGACAGGAGCCGTCGGCACATATGTCTTGCGGAGGGACTTTGCGGCAGACGTTGCCAGCCGCCGATTGCCAGCCGGCGCTGAGGGATTTGGGGCGGTACGCTGACTGCTGCTTGATGCTGCGGTGGTGGCTGCCTTCTTTTTGAGGAGGAGCAGTTCCGTGCTCAATGCCGCCATGCGGGCTTTCAGCGCCTCCTTTTCGCTGCGAGGTGCGACGGCCGTTGCAGGCGCCGATGCAGTTGCGACAGCTGCATCGGCGCGAGGCCCGCCTGGCGGATCATTCGTGCTGCACACATCCGAGGCAGCCTGGCTCTCGGGAACGATGGAGTCGCTCATCGAAGGCAGGAGACAGACAGGGGATGTACTTTCAGAAGCCTATCTACTCGTGAGGGAGGTTGTCGCGGAGGCTGCTTGTCGCACGACGGAACACGACGGGACGCACGACGTGCCCGGGGCGTCGCTCTTCGGATACCACATCAATTTGCGTGCGACCAGCTCACAGCAAGCGTCTGGGGCGCAGCTCACGTGAGCACCGATGGGGATGATGCGCGTGTCCTGCTACCCAACGCGGCCAAAGGATATCCACCTCGAGAACCTCGAGAAGAGGCAAAAAATCTCTCTCTTTGATCTCAAAGAGGCGCCGAGATTTGCCGCCGGAGTCAAGACACACTCTGTCTGGCACCGCATCAATGTTGCACGAGAGACTGCTTCCTGGACCACACGAGGCCAAGGAGCCGCCCGTCGCCGCCGCCGCGTCGCGCAGCTCGCAGCGCACGGTCTCGTTCGCTTCCTCTGGCGACACCGATCGCCCAGCGAGGCGCAAGCAGCCGGCCCGGCTGCTGCTTCACCTGGCCACGCTCGCCCTCGCGTGCAGCTTGCTACTCGGCGAATCGGCACAGCGCGCCAGCGGCATCGCCGAACTCCGGGCGGAGCTCGCCAAGATATTCTATCCGCCGCCGTGCGTGGAAGCGTGGCAATTCTGCGATGACCCTCGCTGCTTCGTTCTGCCCGAGTGTCGAATGGACGACGTACCGTCGCTCCGCGCGATGGTGGCGCACGCCGTCACGGCGCACGATAGGCTGAGGGAGGTGGCGCTTGGCGACATGCGAGCGGCAGGACCCGTGCAACTGCACGTCGTGAGCGTGGCGGGCGCATCCGGCGACACACCGCTCAACATATCCAGCAAGGCGTGCGGCACGTCGCCGGAAGAGTGCAAAGAGGCGGTGGGGCCGCTGTGGACGGATCGCACGCCCAAGGGCAACGCGGCGCTGCGAGCATGGCTCGACGCCCTCTCCTCCCTAACGCTGAGCATGCGACTAAACATCCACGAGCCGGTGACGAGATTAGCCGAGACACCCGAGATCACGGGCATCCACGAGCCGCAGACCTCGGGCCGCACCTCGGCCGCACCTCGGCCTCGCCTCGGCCGCACCTCGGCCTCGCCTCGGCCGCGGCTGCACCTCGGCTACACATGGCTGCACATCGGCTGCACATCGGCTGCATCCCTCGGCAGGTCATCGCCCCCGGCTCCACCTTCCTGTACTCGGACGTCTCCAAGCTTGACTGGCAAGTCGACCTCACCGCCGCACCCGGCGTGTCGTATTTAGATGGAGAGGCGAGATCACTAGGCTAGCAATACACAGCGACTGAGGACACAGGCGCGTGGCGGGCTGACGCACGGGCTGACGCACGGAAGGAGAGACATGGAAAGAGAGGCGGCCACACACATGGACTTGGAAGCAGGCCACGCGACACGAAACAAGACTCACCATCGGGCCGTCACACATCCTGTGAGGGTGTCAGGTGGCCGCAGTCTCGGGCGAGTCCACGAGCAGTCTCGGGCGAGTCCTCCAACATGCGGGCGCCAGCCTCCTCCCATAGGCGGCCATCCGGATGACTCTCAAGGGACACGTCCAACACGTCCATGACATGTCCGTGACATCCGAGACATGCCCCACAGGCGTGACGAAGTCGGGACTCATCCTCTCGCTCGCCCTGTACGTCGACTCGGACACGCCCAGACAGCTCCGCCAGATGTGGCCAAAGCTCGCTGCGTTTGCCCTGCTGACCGCGCGGGTGAGAGGGGGGGCTCCCTCCCCTCCCTCCGGCCCGCTCTTGTGGCGGCGGCAGCGGCGGCGGCGCCGCCGCCGCCGCCGCCGCCGCCGCCCTCCTCTTCTCGTCGCCACCTCGCTCTCATACATCGCTGTCCCCCGGCCTTCTCCCTCACTTTCGGCCCGCCGCCCGCCCAGGCGCTCGCCGGTGCCGCTTTCGCCGCCGCGACGCTGCTGCGTGCCGCCGCGTCGCTCGCGCGAGACACGCTCGCCCACCGCCGGACTCCGAGGCGCTCGGCTACTCGTCGGCTGCACCCCGGCCGCACCTCGGCTCCACTTCGGCTGCTCCTCGGCTGCTTTTAGGCTGCACTTCGGCTGCACCTCGGCTGCATCTCGCAATCCCGCTACGCACCACGCCATGCCTCGCCCAACCTCGCTCTGCCCCTCCGACCCCAATCGCAGGGAGCACGCGGTGGCTAGCGCGGCGGCGAGTGCGGGGCGCGTTGCGCAAGGCTGCTGCTCCGCCGCGGACCTCGTCGACCTGCTCGCTCAGTTGATGCTCTTTGTGGCCGCTTTCGCCGAGCTCGAGGGGCAGCTGCGGCAGCGGCCGTCGCGTTTCCCGCCGGCGGAGCCGTGGCGGGCGTGGTGCCCCGGGCGCGCCCTCGCCGCCGGCCTGGCTCTGGGCGTTGTTGTCCCTCTCGAGCTCGACCTAGGCCCGGGCGTGGTAGGCTCGGCCTCCTCTTCTGCTGGCTTGGCCTTTTCCGCCACATGCAGACCTCGAAGCGCCTCTCCTTCATGCTCAAGACACTCGAGATCGCGCTCGGCCCGCGACCCATCCTGCAGCCGCCGCCGGGTGCTCTTTCCAGCCTTCCCGTCTCAGCTTTCCCGCCCGCCACGCAGGCCCCGCCCTTTGGCTGCTCGTCACCGTCCTACCGATCTGGCTCGGCTTTGCGGCGGCGGGCACGCTCATGTTTGGAGACGCGCCCGCCTTTGCCGACCTGTGGACGAGCCTCGCCACGCTGTGCCGCAGCCTCGGCGAAGAGCTGCCGGTGAGTAGCCACCGGTCAGTGACGAGTCACCCACGGGAGTGCAGGTACGCCATCTCCTTTGGCGACGAGCTCAACGAGACGCTGAGGCAGGCAGGCGATCGCCGCAAAATCTCGGCTGCATCTCGGCCGTTTGCCGGCCGTATCTCGGACACCGTGCTTATCGCGCGCCTTGTTGGGGGGGGGTGGGGGGAGAGGAGCCACTTAGCGCTAGCAGCGCCGGGCGACGGCGGCTTACCGCCTCCCGGCCCCCCTCGGCACACCTCCGCTGCTTAACGATTCGCCTCTCGGCAGGTGCGGCTGGCCGACCGTGTCCTCGGCGCGCCCTTCCTGTACTGCTTCATCTCCTTCGCCTACCTCGTGGTGGTGGGCGTCGCTCTCGTCATCGTCGAGACTGCGCACTGGCAGGCGATGAACTACACTTCGGCCGCACCTCGGCCGCGCACTTCCGACGTACCTCAGCCGCATCTTGGCTGCACCCCCACCGTACCTCGGCCACGCCTCACTAACCCTGCCATGCGCGGATTGCCAGGCGATGAAAGTAATGTACCGGTCGCAACCCTCGAGCGGAGACCCGCCCGACGCCAGCCGCAGGTTGGCCGACGCACGGTATCCCGCCGACACGCGCCGCTCGGTACGTTACGCTCACCACGGGTAGGTCGAGCGGAATCTGGCGCCGCTGGGGCGAGGCGGTGCATAGGCACGCTTGCTTCCACCACGGCAGCCGCGCCGAGCAGGCGGCCGACGGCCTGGAGGGCGGCGCGGCGGCGGCGCGAGACCTCGCGATCGAGCGCCGGAGTCTCGAGTTGCTCAAGGCGCGGCGGGAGCCGAGAGCGGAGCGCGGCGCGTTGCCCCCCGAGGTCGAGATCGTTCCTGTGTGTAGGAGCGCTGGCGGGCCGAGATCCTGCACGAAGTCGGCCAGACGGTGCGGCAAGAGATGGCGCAGCATATGCAGCGCTTGCTCGCACATGCGGGGGAGACCGGAGCGGGAGCGCAGCACAGGGAGTCGCAAGCTGTCTATTGAGCAAGCGCGTGAATTAATCGTCCCGTGCGACGGTGTATCATTCACCTTATGCCACCGTTGCATATCCGCCGCCTCAGCGAGGATGTGAAACTCCCGAGCATTTTTTTGGAGTGCAGTCGGTGACCCCTCAGTCCTCACAACCGGGGCCGGGGAGCTTTGAATCGCAGAAGGGACGTGTTTTTCTTTTTTCGGGGCGGGGCGGGGTTGCTCGGGTCGGGGTGGGGCGGGGTTGTGGGGTGGGGTGGGGATGTCGGGTTGGGGAGTGGGTGGGCGCCGGAGTGGGAGTGGTGTGACTGCTCCTGTGGTGCGGGCGACGGCTTCTGAGGAAGCCGTCGCCCGCGCCTCACCTGTCGCGTGCATCGTGTCCTGCGACCGCCTTTGGTTAAAAAATTCTTTTTTCTTCTGCCGCCGATTTTCCGCCGACGGAAACACGCCTCTTGTCTGTCTCACGTCTCTTCTCGCCGCCGCCGTCGCTGCCTCTGACATCGCAGCTCTTCGCCTTGCGCAGCGCTCTGGCTTTCATGCTCTCCATCGAAGAACGATTGGCGCGGCTCGAGGAGGAGACCCGGCTTTTGAAGCTCGAAACAAAGCCGTCGAAGCCAAAGCCGCAGCGACCCGTCGCCGAGCGGCCGCAGCGGCCGTCGCCCTTCCCGAAGCGGTTGTCCAGTCCTGCCTCGAGCGTAGAGAATCGGATTCACAGGAACGCCCCGTTCCGTGAGCAGTCGTGGCTGACGGCGGACGTTGACGCGGGGTATGCACCACCCACGGAAGTCGAGTGTCTGCCTTATGTTCTGCTCAGCAGAACCGCGCGAGATTGGGTGGACGAGCACAGCGAGAACGGCGAGAACACCGACGGCAAGTTTGCTCCCTTCAAGACGTCTGACAGCCGCGATGTGCTCAAGTGGGCGCTGTACGCGGCAGTGTCGCGGCAGATGGCGGACGCGGCGATCAACCTCATGACAGGCTTCGATGAGTTGGACGACGAGGCCGGCGAGACTGGCGGCAGAGCACTGGGAGCTCTGCCGTATCGCGCCATTTGGGAACCCACCCCGAGCGAGGCGGAGCGTGAGGACGACGGTAGCTACACGCCGGCGCGAGACACGAAGCTTGACGCGGTCACCTGGGAATGCCCCCCAGCCCCTTCCGGTGCCGATCCCGGGCTCGAGTCGGTCCGCAATGGGCCCGATGCCATGGCTCGGCTGCCGCTGCTCGTGGCCGCTGACACAGCTCTGCTGGCTCAACATGATCGCTTGCAACTTGCACCAGTGCGCAGTCCGACTGCGCCCCTCTCCAAGAGTCTCTTGGGCGGGCCCCTTGATCTGTTCGTTTCCTGAGCAGGTGGGTGGCGCTCTTCATCTCGGCGTTCGCCACGCTCCTCTCCCTCCTTCTGCTCGAGAGCATGATCGTCACCGACTTCATTCAGAAGGTGCCCGATGGCCTCAACACACACCAATGGGTCGCGCTCGCAACGGACGACCGGCCGTTCTTGCTCCGCTTCTCCACCGTACTTATCCTCGTCTGCTTCCCGGTGAGTCGTGGTGCAGGCTCTGCACACCGGCCGCGCCTACGTCGTTCACTCGCTGCGCTTCTCCACACAGGCGTGGATTGTCGGCTTCATGATTTGGGGCGACGACATCAACACTTACGGCACGTCTTATATCAATTGGATCCAGACGCGCATCATGCTGCGCTCGATGGCGGCCCGGTACGAGGCGGGTTCGTACGGGTATTGCACGATCGTCTTCCTCGCCATCCTCGTCGAGATACAGAGCGTCGTCGTGCCGGCGCTACTCGCGTTCACCGCCTCCGGCGTCTACCTCATGCACTATGAAGGCAACCTTCACGAGCTGGCCAACCTGTACCTCATGTCCCGTCGCACCCCCAGCCCCTGTGTGGACTTCGGCCACGTCTCGTGTCGCTAGTCGCCTGTGGCCGTGGATAGGTACCAAATCATCTTCCAGCTCGATCAGCACGCGCTCTCCTTCGCCATGTTTTGCCTCTGCTACACGCAGGAGCAGACCACCATCCAGATCAAGCTTGTCTCTGGGTGGAGAGCTGCCACCGAGTGGCACAGCATGCGCTACCTCTACATGTGCGCACGCTCAGCCTGTCCTCAGCCCACCCCGCCTCGCCACCCCGCCTCGCAGCTTCGAGCCTTGTTCGACTCCCTGCCTCTCGCAATGCCGACCATCGCGCAGGTGGGTCCTCTTCTTCGTCATCGGAACCATGGTCGCAGTCGGCTGCTGGCGCTTCTCCATGCTTCTGCTGTGGCTCTTCCCGATCACGATCCTCGTCTACTCGATCGGAGCCAACGCCATCCCAGCCTGCATGCACGGACTACCTGTCTGCCCGCCGCACACCGGGCCAGCGGTCGCCATCATCGGGATGGCCTCCACCGCACTCTTCCTCACCGGCTTCATCTTTGTCCGCGCCTGCTTCCTCTTCCCGTGCCTCTGCGCACCCGAGGCGCGCCCGCGGATGGCTCGGTCTCCTTCCCGCCCCCAGCACTCCCTGCCGTGGCGCCAACATGCATCCCCCTCCCCCCCGCCCCCCCCAGCAGGTGCCAGGCTGGCTCTTCTTTCCGCCCGCAAGCGTGCCCGTCAGCCCGATCACCGACGGCGACGTGGACACTTTTGGCGTGGCGCTACTGCTCGACAAACTCTTCGGGAAAAGCGCGTTCCCCAGCGACTGTGTCTGGGAGCCGCCGACCTGTGGGGGGGGAGATTGCGGTACCTGGTCTGAATCTCCCGGGAGCGCCGCTGCGGCGTCTGACCTCCCCTGGTGCGAGGACGTGTATGACCGGAGGACCGATAATCGCTGCAAGCCACTACCTGGGCATGGTACGAACGGCTGGACCTGAACCGTACTGTACCGCATGTTGACTCATATTGTACCCCGTTCATATACATGCCGATACCCTGCCACGCCCGTGGCGGCGTGGGCCCGCCTGGCCTACGCTCGAAGACTCGAACGCACTATACAATCACAAACAAACACGTGACACACTGTCACACTGATCTCTGCTCAAGCGGAGATTTTTGGATCTAGAGCGGTCCATGGGCATGGCGTAACACACTCCGTGTCAGGTGTCACACTGCGTACAAAGGGAGGGTGTAGAGGCGGTGTAGTAGAGGGGTGTTCAGCTAGCGTGGTCCGTGGAGGTGAACTTTGTGCCTGGCGCGGCGTGTTGACTGGAACAGCACGCAGGTGCCCCGGTGCAGAATCGCTCAGGACGTGAGCCAATCCGCGCCGCCGTTGGGCTGGCCGTCCCTCGCAAGCGAGGCGGCCGAGAGTGGGCCGACCGCGGCGATGCCAGCCGCGCCAGGCACAAAGTTGAGGACGACGACTGAGGCCGCCGCAGCGAAGATGGCGGGCACGTAGAGCGCGCCGCCGACCGCATTGCCGATGGCGGCGGTCGTCCAGACGAGGATGGCGGTGGTCAGGCCGAGTATTTCCTCCCTCCCCGAGGCCGTCTTGCCCAGACGGTTGCGAGTGAATCCTAGTGAAACTAGCGTTCACAGTCGTCGTTCTGGAATGTCGGATCCGCCGAAATTCAATGTCCGGCGTCTTCCGGCCGCGGCGTTGTCTTCTCTCTGGCGCTCTGGCACTCTCGCTGCTAGTCGGTGCGATCCCACCGACAACCTTGCAGCACATGTCGGTGCTTCCATCGCCTCCGTCGCCATCGCCACCCACCGCGCTCCAGCCGGGGGAGATCGGTATCACCGCCCGCCTCTGGACCGGTGGCGATGCCGTGTGGTGGAGCAACTTCGGCACCACCTACTCCACGCATCACGCTGCCCCGGGCGACGTGCTCGTCTTCGTGTACTCGTCGGCGCGAGCGAGACCGCATACGATGCGTGCGACCCCACGGGCTCAGTCACGCTCGCCGGGCCAACCGACACCGTGTACCGACACAATGTGACGCAAGCTGATGCCGACGCCGGTACCGTCTACTTCACCTGCAGCGGCGACCGCAGGTCGTCGACCTGGTCTCCGAACTACTGGGGTACCCACTGCAGAAATGGCCAGAAAGTCAAAGTGGTCGTTTCGGCGCCGCCGTCGCCGTCTCCGCCGCCAGGCCTCCCACCTGGCCCGCCGGCACCGCCTCTGTCGCCGCCACCACCTTCGCCACCCCCGTCGCCGGTAACCACAATCTCACCGTCGCAGCCACCCGCGCCAGCTCTCTCATCGCCGCAGCCCCTCACGCCAGTTCACTTGCTCGGCGGCGGCACTAGCGGCGACACTGCTTCACGCGAACATTTCTTCGTCCTGGCTGTTTGCCTTGGAGTCCTTGTCCTGGCAATACGTGCCTTGCGCACCAGCCAGCACAAGCAGGCCACCAAGTGCGCCCCTGAGCAGGGCAAGCCAGTCGATCTCAAGGATACCATCCGCGGCTAGGTACATCCGCGGAAACCTCGTAGAGAGGCATCACCTTCCACTTGATGCCACGGAGCCGCGCCTGCTGCCGGACGAGGACAGCCCCGAGGACGAGATGGCCATCCGCCTCTCGCACGTGCCGCCTCGCGTCCGCTGCGGCATCTGAGGGAGAGGGCAGGGGCACAGGGCTTGGAGGATGGTACGGCTTGGAGGATGGTACGGGAATCAGCTCAGGGGCATCGATGCACAGGCCATCCCGGAAGGGGTCGCTGGGTGGCAAAGTGCGCGCAGGATAGTAAGTTGAATATGAATCGAGTATTCATCCCCAGCCCTGGTGACAGACTGAGACTTTACATTCACGAGACCCAGCACCCACGCGCTTTCGAGCTATACTTTACCGTTTTTAGGTAAATATTCGGCTGTGTGCAGCTCTCCCGTCGACGCGCGCTCCGAGCGGACGCGTTCTCCATCGTTCTGCTTGCTCATGCTCTGGGCGCACTTCTCCCCCGTTGCGTTGTCTGTTATTTTTCGTATTCTCTCTGTTAGTGTTTAGTCAAGAGGCCCGTTCTCCCATCCCTACCTCCGCACACAAAGGCGGAAAATTTCAGGCCTGTCGGGGGCGCGGGCAGCAGCAGAGGCCTCGGAGCATCTCTGTGCAGCCTAGCAGCAGTGCGGCCAATCTCGACGATCGCCAAACAACCATTCCTCTAGCAGCCTTGGGATTCCTCGACGGATTCCTAGCACTGGGTCGCCCTGGGGCGTATCCATGGCGAGTGGGCCTCACTCATCGCGATCGCTGGCGCTGGCTGGTCGGGAGGTAGCGGGTGAAGCGGTCGTTCTGGTCGACCGAGCAGATGAAGGCGGTGAGCACCTTGTACCACACGTCCGCCACCTCTCTGTCCTCGATGAGCAGGCAGAGCGGCGCGCACTCCTCCTCGTCCTTTGGCCACAAGATGAGCCGCCCGTCGCCGGCGGCTTTCGGCGGCGGGTCGAGGAACGTGACGGCCCGCCCCAGTGGGCCCGGGGATCCTCCCGCCGCCGGCGGCCTTGGGCGGCGCGCCGGCGCCCCCGCCCGCGGCAGCAGGCGGAACTGCGTCACGTCCGCCTCGAGGATGGGCGGCTCGCGCAGCACGTAATTGTCTTGAGACCCAAAGGCGTACAGCCGGCCGTGCGTGCCCTCGCAGTGCAGGACGAACCACCACCGCTGCGTGAGCGGCAGCGCTGCGCTCCCCGCCCGGTCGGCGCGCAGCTTCTCCACGGCGGCCCGCGAGGCGGTGAGCGCGCTCACCTAGGACGGGGGAGGGGGAGGAGAGGCACTGTCACGCACAGCTGCGAGTTCGCTCACGACTAGACTGCTACCACCCTGGTAGCGCACTCTCCAAAGGGCAGCGTAATGAGCAAGCAGTTAATGAGCAATGAAACGAGTGATGATCGTTTCAACACGAAACGGTTCACCTCGAGGTGGAGCGGCTTGCTGGCCCCTTGCACCTCGCGCGGCGCCTCCGCCTTAAGAGCGCCGCCGCTGAGGCGGTAGAGGCACTCGCACGGGTCCTGCGACTCTTTCTCCACGCGGAGGGCCCTCCACGCGCCGTTCGTTTGCGGCGGCCGAGGGGCAGGTCGTATGTGAGCGCAAGGTCTCATAGCATATCGGTCCGTGGGGATGGGGGGGGGGGGGGGGGGCCTTTGCGTGGAACTCGTCGCGGAGGGCGATCGTGTTGACGATGGCATGGACGACGAGCAACGTGAAGGTGACGGTGATGACGAGGGCCGCCGAGCCGGGCTCGCGCAACCACGCCACGCAGCAGATGGCGCCCACGAGGGAGCCGAGGCAGATAACAAACATCTCGTCGACCTTGCGCACGTTGCGCTGCACAATCTCGTCCGAGGCGCGCACGTCCCTCATCGACGCGCCGGTGAGGGCCGCCTGGTTGGCGAGGATGATCAGCCTGGTGCAGAGTGTGGGGCGGCGTGTGTCGGAGAGCGGCACGCCGCGGAAATCTCTTTCTCTTGCGCTGGCACCGATTCGAATAGATCACGACCCATAGACCGGCGCCGCCCGAGAGGGTCGCGAAGAGCAGGTAGGTCAGCTTGAGGAGTTTGTCCAGGAAAATGGGCGTGCCGTCGCTGTTAGCGAAAACGACTTCATCCGACACCTCGGCAAGAACATCACCGCCGAGCCATGCGATTGAGATGCCAGCGATGAAAGCCGCCTGCGTGTTGAGGTTGTTCAGCCACTCTGTCCGCACGGTCATGTGCTGGAATCGGATCTCCATCAGCGCATGCTCTTGGTTTACGTCGAGCGCCTGCTGCTGAGCGCCGACAAAGCCAGCGCGCTCGATGTCGCGCTCGCGCGTGTCCACGTTTAGGTTAAACTTGCGCAGCAGGGTGTCCATCAGGCGGCGGTGCGCTGCGAGTTGTCGTGCGCCTCCGCAGCCCCTTCGAGGAGCTCCGCCTAAGCCGCCGCTCGCGCCCGAGGTAGGGGGGCCAAAGCCGTCGAGAGCCGCAGCCCAGCGTGCCGCGATGAAGCCGTCGGGAGGTTAGAGCTCTACACAAATTGGGCGGCCTCTGTTCTTTCACTCCCCCGCCGTTTTCTGCCCGACGGCCATCGCCTGGCACGCTCCTCCAGCGCCAGAAGAGATAGAGAGAGAGCAAGGGAAGAACAGAGGAGAAATATGCTTTCTCACGAGCGCGAGCGGCTTGGCAAGGAGCGCTACCTCGCCGACCTAGAGGCGCGCCGTCCATTGCAGGCAGAGCGCTGCCTCGCCGACCAATCCACAGCCGCCTTGCCGGCGCCCAGGTGAAGCGCGATCAGCTCACCTTCTACCTCGACCGTCTCGCCTCGATACAGATGCAGGCAACGCTGGTCACTGGCTTCGCCTTCGGCGTCCTCGGCCCAGATGTGATTGAGGCGCTCCCGTTCTTCGACGCGCCGGTCATCACCTACGTCTACAACATGTCCGCCACGATGAGCATGCTCTGCTCCACAGGCGCAGTCGTCATGTCTTCAATCCTGATGTGGGAGGTAAATCGGCTGAGCCTGTACGGGTCCGTCTCCGCCGCCGTTGTGGCCGCTAGGCGGCACGAGATCGCCGTGATCGGGATCTACCTCGGCTCGCTGGCGCTCCTGACGGTGTGCGTCTGCTTCGGCTTCCTCGCCACCTGCGAGGCCGGCCGGCGCCAGCGCGAAGGACGCGACGCTCACAGGGATCATCGAGCTTCTGGAATTAGGCGGTTGGCGTCGCCCACGGAGCCGGCTGCCACCGCGCCGGCTACTCGGTGATGCTGCTCGTCATCACGACGGTGGGCTTCTTCGGCTGGATGGCGCGGCGGATGCACCTCAAGTTCCGCGGGTACAGTCAGGGCCCAGCCGTTAAGGCGGCGCCCGTCCACCTCGACGTCGAGTCGGCAGGCATCGACACCGGCCTGCGACACAGCCTGCTCGCGCCCCTCTCACAGCACGCAAAGGTGAGCCAGATGTGATGCTGGTGAGCGCCGCGCAGAGCAAGCGCCCCCAAAAGGTTTCTAGGGCTGTTAGAAGCAGCTGCCGGACGAGAGCTGCAGTAGCAGCGTCGTATACAGACCACAGAAAAAGGTAACAAAAGTCAAAACAAGCGACGGCCGAGATGCCACCGCATCGGCATACCGTAATTCATTGTGAGCTAGTAGATCGCCTCGGCAGCGTCGGCAGGCGCCGGTGTGGCCTCCTCCGGCAGAGCCCCAGGCGCGTTCTCGAGGAAGTAAGTGTACATCTCGCCCTTGCCTTTGTAGTAGCGTGGGCCGCGGCTCTTCGCGCCGAACCGGCCGCGCAGACACCGGTACGCCTCCTGCGACACGTGGACACGACCTGGCTCCGAGCCGGAGCACCTGTGCGGGGCATGAGATGGGCGTGTCGTGGGACGCGTCACGGACACGTCCCGGGGAGGCGGAGGGCGGGTCGGGTCACATGCGGGCGGCGGTGTTGACGGCGTCGCCGCACAAGTCGTACCTGTTCACACATAGAGGCAGCTGTGGAGAGAGGCTGTTCGCAGCTAGACCTGGCGTCGTCGGAGAGATCAGTACTGGTAGGTCTTGTGCCTATTCACAGCTACAGGCTGAAACGACGCTGTTCACACCGCAGACGCCGCATGTGCCCGATCGCATGTGCCCGATCACGCCCGCGATGGCGGAACCAAAGTCGATGCCCACCTGCAGACGTCAGAGGGAGCGGTCTTCCCACGAATCACAATGAGCAAAAAGGGATGTGGGGGAAGCCACCAACGCGATCTCAAGTATTTAATTTGGGTTCCCGGAGCTGGCTGCTGCTGGCTGCTGCTGGCTGCTGCTGGCTGCTGTTGGCTGCTGCTGGCTGCTGCTGGATGGCTGAGGCTGGCTGCTGCGTCTACCAGGGACGAAGGCTGGGCCTAGTACGGGAATCTTGGGTGCTCTCGGGTGCTCTCGGGTGCTCTCGGGTGCTCTCGGGTGCTCTCGGGTGCTCTCGGGCCACCTGCACGGTGAGCTGCGGCGCCCTCGGCGCCTCAGCACGCAGCTGAGGTCTGATTATCGCGAAGCCGAAGCCGGCCTGAGCTCCCGCACGGCGCAAGCAGCTGAGCCGGTCGCCCCCGGAGACTGTGTGTCTAGGCGGTGTCGGTGCGGCGAGGACGCGCGCCGCCGCCGCCGCGCGGTCGTGCGGGTCCGGGAGGCGGGTTGGGTCGGGCAGGCCGGCAGCGACCAAGTACTGCTCGTTGGCCGTCTTGCGCACCTGTGCGTGCATGCACGATGAAGTGTGATCACTCCGCTCCTGCGGCACCGGAGCGCTCACGCAAGCTTTCGTGGTCTTGATTTCATTCTCGTACGCCGGATCCCGCCCCCCCCTCGTGCGCGCGCCTTTTGCAGCTGGAAGACGTCTGTGAGGCGGTCGAACCTGTTCACAGCCAGAGGTCTGAAGAGACTCTTCACAGCTCGAGGTGTGAAGACGTCTGCGAGGCGGACGAGCCGGTCGAACATGAACTGCAGCAGCTTGATGACGCGCGGGGGCTCGGCCGTTGCGTCGTTCAGTAGCGCCGACAGCCCGTCGACCTGGTCAGAGGTAGGGTCAAGCACGGTTGACATCTCGTCCACATCTCCTGCAGCGGCCGAACCTTGGCGAAGAGGAATGCGCACTCGCTGAAGCTCTCCGCCAACTGCGCGCGCTGCGGCCGCGCCGGTCGATCGAAGCCGGCCCGCCTCGCGGAAGGCTGCACGGTGCCAAACTCGCCCCTGCTGATGCGCTCCACTCGCTCCGCCCGATCGGGAGGTCCCCGCCACCGCCACCGCCGGAGCTGCAGCTGGCCTCGGCCCGCCCCGTGGCGGCGTACCTGTTCGCAAGGGTAGGTGTGAAGAGACGCCATCCGCAAGCTACTTCGGCCCGTCCGGTGGCGGCGTTCCAGTCGGCGCTCGTCGAAATGGTGCCCGTGCTGCTCCCGTGGTGCGACGCCGACGGGCCGCTGCCAACGCCGTGGCTGCCAGGGCCTGTGCAGGCCGCGAAGCATCACGTCTCCTGTCGCTAGTCGCATGGGCCCAGAGGGCGATTATTATCGCTCGGGCCCGAAGGGCAATCCGTAAAGGGAGATATAGGGCTTGGGCCCAAAGGGCGGCAAAGGGCGGTGCGGGTCCAGTCTTTGGAATGGAGTTGCCTCCTCCTACTGCTGCTGCTGCTGCCCGCTGGGCGGCGCGGCGGCGCGCCTTGCTCGAGGTCAGCGAGCCAAGGGATCGGACAAGGTGCGGCGGCAGGATCGACTTGAGCAGCCTAAGTGAATGAACCGACTGCCAATGAGCTCATTAGCCGAGGAGCGGCGGCAGGATCGACTGGAAGCAGCCGGTCGCAGGTTGCAGTCTCTTCCTCCATGCAGGGCATCAACGCCTTTTGCCGCGCCTGGAGGAGGAGGGGGCGCCTACTCGCGGGGGGGGGGGGGGGGGTGAAGAGGCGCTCGAGAAGCGGCACCATCAACCGAGGACCCGCGGCGGTCGGCGCCACATGCCGCGGGCGTGGTGGAAGTGGTGCAGCACGCCCACGGTGTGCGCTGCGCAGAGCATGGCGACACAGCGCAGCAGCTCGTACCCCACGGCCGCCTCGAGGCTGGTGGCGAGTGCGCCTACTCTCACAGCGGCACGCGTGAAGAAGCGCAGCCCTTCAAAGGCCCTTCGGATGCGAGCTCGCCCTTGCCGCCGAGCTCCTCGCCCCAGAAGGCGTCGACCCGTTTCACACTCATCCCAACAAACGCCGCCGACCCTATTCACACCCAAGTGTGTGAAGAGACGCTGTTCACAGCAGGCCATCGCGCCGGCCGCCACAGAGCCGGCAAAGGCCGCGAGCGCCACTAGGGAGAGGGGGAGGTGCGTGAGGCGATAGGAGAGGAGGACGATCCAAGCGGCAAGCTCGGCGAGGTACTCCCACGGGTAGTGGTGGCACCGGTCGGCGCCGCCAAGCTCGACGCGCGAGCTCCTGGTCTATAGAACTCCTGGTCGTCGCCGTGGAACAAACCGGCCGGTGGCGGCGGCGGAGGCGCCGACGGTGGCAAAGCTGGCGCTGCACCCCTCCCGCTAACAGCCGCGAGGAAGTCACCGACGATGGCGCAATGCCATACGGCGCTCCCCGCCGCGGCCGCCGCAGCGACGTCGGCTTCCGACAGGACCGTGTGCGCGCCACCCGCCTCACACCAAGAGCTGTGGTAGCGCCTGAGGTCGTCGACGGCGCCCCCGATGCTGTCCTCGATTCCGTCGCCGTCGCAGTCCTCCAGCCCGCAGTCAGCTAGCGGGTGGGCGCCTGGCACGGGTCGGGTGGTGACGCGGGGTGTCGGTTGGCCGTTTGGCCGGCTGTCCCATGCCTGGGGCCTGGCTCTGTGAAGTGCCTCTATGTGAGGTACGAGGAGGAGGGGGGTGGGGGGGACGAGCGAGCGAGCGGCGAGAAGGGGGGGGGGAGAGGGGGGGAGGGAGAGAGACAGACAGACAGGCGGACGGACGGACAGAGAGCCTGGCATGCCCGCGCACGGCACGAGCGTGTACGGCACCAAACAGGGGCTGGCGTCGAGCCCGACGAAGGGGAGCACCTGTCAGCAGCTAGGCCGGTAGACTGACGTGGTTCACGCCGGACCCGTTGACCTCGGCGGAGGGGGTCACAGCGAGCAGCGCGCAGAAAGGCAGCGCCAGCAGGCAGACTGCCGCGACGCTGTTGCCCCTCGCCGTCGCCTGGCTCGATGAGAGAGCTCCGCGCAACGCGAGCACTGCGGGAAGAAGCAGCGCGTAGCGCGAGAGCAGGAGCGGTTGCACGCCATCAAGGCCGACGTACGGCACCGAGAAATGGGTGAGGTCGCAGGCGCCTGAATGAATCACATGAATTGGCGCTGAGGTGGCGCCTAGGCGACGACGAAATTGTTCAGTTCGGTGGAGGACAATCGGTCACCCCGGATGTATCCCAAAGTGGTGGAGTCCGCCGCGTTGTCCAAGGAGTGTCTGGTTCTAGCCACGGACCGTATGCTCCGACCCAGCCGAGAAGGACCCCGCAGTGGCGCGCCAAGAAGCGGCGCACCTCGCCGTCGCTGGCTTCGAGCACGGGCGCCTCCGCCTCCTCCGCGTGCGGCGCGAAGAAGTGGCCGGACGTGGCTGCCCCCGCGGCGGAGCCGGCTTTCCCCCCGTGGGCCGACGCGGGGCGACCGCTGGCGTCGTGCCTAAGGACATGAAGGGTGACATGGTCACCGAAGCGAGTAGAGTGGTGGACGGCCTGCCTGCGAGAACATCGTCTCGAGGCCCTCCACGTAGGTCTTTGCGTAGTCCACAAACTCATCGATCGAAACGTCGGGGTCCTTCTGGAATGGCCTGAAGTAGGCCGTTCCTTCCAAGAAGCCGCCGCACAGTGCATCAAGCGGGTTGCCACCAACCCCCTTGGAACCGATGCTGCCAACGACACACTGCTGGTAGAAACGCGTCGTCTGATAGGCGTACGACTGGCAGAGCTGCCGTGTAGTAATGTGGAGCTGCAACGCCATGGACGAGATTTGGGTCCCGATCAACAACCGCTTCTCCTTTGAGCTCTGCTCGAAGCTGACCGAGTCGTCGCCGAACGCCTTGGTGATTTCCTCGTCAATCATTTTGTTCGCCTCCATCTGCGCGAGATCGATCAACGCCTACAGCAGAGGCGCCTAACTCACCTCTGGACGAAGATTGCCCACACACGAAACTTGTGCCTGCTGCACACCGGCGACGAAACGGGTCCCATGGGTCACGTAGTCGTTACCGTAATCGCACTGTGCACGCATCTCCTTGAGCCACCGCCGGGCGAGCACGTTGATGGCAGAGTTGTAACCAGATGTGTAAGGCTCCATCAGGTCGCCTATGTGCGTGCACAGTGCGTCGCGCCGAGCGTTTTCTCTGTTGTGATTCACTCCGCGCAGTGCGTTCGCGGCCGGAGCTCGCGTATATGGACGACCAGTAGCCGGTGCCAAGCTGCGGCAAGATGCTGTTCAACATGAAAGCCTGTTCCGATATGATTGGAGTGTGTAGCGCTGCTGGTCGAAGGAGACATCCACGGCATCACAAGAGACCGTGATGGCAAGGTTCGCCACCGAGTCGTTGCTCGTGGGGATCAGGGATGTGTTGGATGGCCTATATGCAACAGCAGCAGGCAGGTGAAGATATGTGGATCATGGGAGAATAGCCAATGTGCTATTCTTTGAGTCTGCCATCCAAACTTCTGCTCCATTTGCTCGACCGACACGCCCGCGGCATCGCGCACTTTGTTGTCCATGTTGTCCGCCTTGCTCAGAGCCTTACTCGCTTGTGTAATGCCTCGGACGCCATTGATGAAACCGTCGAGGCCCTTGATCAGGTAGTAGCCCGCCTTGCGTTGCGTCTCCGCTCCTGCGAGCATCGACAGTGTGACATGTGTGCAATCCATCTTAACAATTATATTTGCACAAATTTGCCGCGCCTTTCCAGTTATTTTTCGTAGGCAAAGCAATGTCGGGGTCGTCGGAGAATTGGTTCGCCATATTAACCCAGCGATTTTTTTCGGACATCTCGTTTATTTTTTGCGGCCTTGATGACTTTTTGGCGCCCGTCCGCTTCCAAGGCATGAGCCCTTCAACCTTTGCGCCTTCGCTACTCGCAGCCAAAAGGGGCGCCGCAAAGTTGAGCGCGAACGAGGCGATGGTGAAAATGAGCTCCCACATCGCCTACACATCGTGTCTGACACCGTTAAGAACAGTCAGACTGTGGCTGAACACCGGCGCGGTAGGGTGACACCTTCGTCTGCATCTCCTTGATCCACTTGTCTAGCTCCTCTTTCATCTCATTGGCGGTCTTCTCCATGGTCTTACCCATGTCATGGATGCCGTCCATCCCGGCCTGCATCCCGCGAATCGCGGTCTCGATCGTTTCCATCGTCATCTTGTGCGTCTCGTCGGTGACGCTCTCACTGCCTGAGAGCTTTGCCTGAAAGCACGCGAACCAATTAGCGCGGCAGGGGAGGGCCGAGGCGGGCCCGTGCGAGGATCCCGCACCTGCTGAATCTTGAGCGTCGAGATGTACCGCTCCATGGCCTTGTCCTCCTTGGCGTCCTCTTTGAGATCCTGTAGGAGCTTTGTGAGGATGTCGGTGTACTTGCCCATCTCCGACGTGTAGAAGCCATAGGAGAAGGAAGGGACGTAGCCGTCGCTCTCGCTCATCGTCGATCCTCCAGTCAGAGCGGACACGGAGCCGACGTGGGCGGCCAGGGCTCGGACCAGCGGCGTACCGGCTGCGTAGGGCATGTAGGCGCCGCAGCTCCCACTCGAGGCGGTCTCCAGACGGCGGCGGTCGTCGTGCGGATGGTTGTGGCAGCACTTGAGTCCGGGGCGGTCGCTGCATGCGGCACAGATTGCAGCCTTGGCAGCCTCGGGCGCGGGCGTGTCGTAATCGGCAGGGATGAACTCGCTGCTTTCGTTCCAGAGGCCGTGCCCCTCGGTGACGTTGCGGGGCAACGCGCACGTTTCCGGGCAAACGCGAAGCACCTGAGAGGGGCGAGTAACAACTCAGCAAGTCTATACTCTATTCCCGCCCTTGTGCATTCAGCTGAGGGTGGGCGGACCTCTGCGACGCAACTTTCTGGGCACGGCTCCTTCCCAACACGGCAGAGTCCGAAGCCTTTCGCGTGCTCGCACGTTGGAACAAAGCCCTGGTCACAAGGCGACGGCGGTGGCAGCGGGGGTGGCGCCGGTGGCGGCATCGGGTCGTCCATGAACGGCGCAAAGAGCGGGCGACGGCTACTGGAAGAGGCGGAGGACGCCGGCAGGGGGCTGTCGGGGTACCTCTCGACCCCAGCCTTCATCTCCTGCAGGTTCAGTGTCTGTAGGACCGAGATCACGCCCGGAATGTGCGTTGCGTTGGTGGCGTCGAAGACGGAGTCGGGGAAGGAATGCAGCTAAGGAGGCACACGTCAGGGGTTATAGGTGCGATGCTTGGCGGTCGCAGGGCAGGCGTGGCGAGCGCACTGAAAGGCCCTTGGCAACATCGGCGAGATGAAGCTGCGTCGCGTAGCCGTAGAGAGGTAGGTAATCCTTGACACGGAACTCGCATTCCTTGGAGCCTGGGACGTTGCACGCATCCTCCTCCGTGCCCATCTTGCGGCAGATTGGACCGACGCAGCCAGTCAACCCAGAGAGCAGGGCGTCCCAGTCGTACGAGCTGGATGCCAAGCTCCAAAAGGTCTCGCCACACAGCTCATTCCATGTCTCCATTGTGCCGAGGGTCTGGTCAAACACCCAGGCGCGGGTGGGCTGTTTGGTTGCCAGGGGCTTCGCCCGGATGCGAGCCCCCGGCCTGCTCTCGACGCACGCAGGGCCGAGGTATTTCTTGAGCTTGAACTCGACGTTCTTGGTGTTGAGCACGAAGTCGGATCGCGTCTCCAAGCAGTCCGGGCCCACGTAGTTCTTGAGCATGTAACCCCAGCCCCATGCAGTCATGTCAACGTAGCCCAAGCACTCTGCATTGGAGTTGCACCGCGCCTCGCAGTTCGCCTGGCTCGAGCAGACGCCCGGCTCCCCAAAGAAGAAGTAGAAGAGCTGGTTGCCCTGCTTGTGGCATGAGTTGAAGTAGAGAGAGTTGTCGTTGTAGTTGTAGTCAAGGCACATCCCCGGTTCTGACTTCACCCTCAGGGTTGCCGCGTTGTTCTCACCAAGTCCGCTGCCGCCGTCGAAGTACCACTTCTGGTTGTCGCCGTCATGGCACGGGTACATGTAGAGCTTGCGGCTGCCGCCCCAGTCGAGGCACTGGTCGGTCACGGACATGGCGCCGTCGGGGGCGCCACGGATCTTGATCTTGTAGTAGGCGCCGTCCTCTTCAACGTAAAAGTCCTGGTTGGCGCCACCGTGAGGGGAGTAGAGGTGCACTCTCCAATCCGAGTTGACGAAGCCGTAGTCGAAGACCTTCGCATCATACTTTTGCCGGATCGTAGTGGCCGTGGCGATCTTGTTTGGTGGGGAAATCACTTCGCGGAGGTCGGAGTTCTCTCCTGGCGCGGCGCTGCAACCGGAGCCCTTGACATTCGTGTTTGAGATGGGGCGGTACCTACAAGGGAAGGGGCGCGGTGACCTCCCGGTCTAGCGCAGACTCACACGTCCAAGTAAGGCTCGACCCGTCCGACTCCGAGTAGCCGAGGCAGTTGTCGTCCTTGGTGCACAGCTCCTCGCAGTCGCTCTCGCTGCTGCAAGTGCCAATGTCGACGTCGCCGCCTGGTGCGGAGGAGCAGGGTGCGACGACCGTGTCGGGGAACGTCGTGTAGTTTGCCGGCGCGAAGTCGGCCGACTCCTCGTCGGTTTGGAGGCAGCTGAACGTCGTGGGAGTGGACGGAAACGTGCCGGGCGACTCCAGCGTGCGGCGTGTCATCGGGTCGGGCTCGTCGTAGGCGAAGAAGAACGGCGGATGCTTGCACTGCTCAAGGAGATGGGCCTTGGCTTCCGGCTTGACCTTTCTCCCCTGCAGCGCCAGCCCGAGCGGAGAGAGGGAAGGAAACCAGCAAGGCACCGCGGCGCCAGCCTCCTTGCCGACGTCCCGGCCGACGGTACTGTGGTGGAGCACCGGGTCGTCCGTCTCTACCTCCTCTCCCTTGAACGCCACGCAGCTCCATGTGCCGGAGGGGCAAGTTTCGAGGGGCATGTAGTAGTGCTTCGAGTCTGTGCTCACCACCACCGCCTTCGTTGGTGTCGGCTCCCGGTCCTTGAAGTCCGGATTGCGCACAGTCGGGTTGCAAGTGTTCGACTCTGCGCACGGCGTGTAATCGGGCGTGCTCCCGAGACGAGCGTTGCACTGCGTGCCGTCCGCCGGAGCCACGCACGCGAGGCTGCCCGCCGAGAGAACTGGCGCCGAGGACTCGATGCTTCCGCGGGGCGGCAGCACCACCGTCCCCGGCAGAGGGCAGATCTTGGTCCAGCCGGATTGTTCGCGCCAGTCCGGATTCGGATTTGGGTCACAGACCCCCTTCGAAATCGGGGTTTGGGCGACCTCCTTCCATTCCACCACGCAGCTTCCGTCGGTGCAGGCCTCCACTTGGGCAGCAACGTGCGGGACATCCGGGGTGATGACTTCGAGCGGCGGCGGCAGCGGCGGGGGCGACGGCGGCGGGCTCGGGTAGCCCTTCCATTCGCACTTGTAGTTGCTGGTGTAGATTGTTGTGGGCATGCACCCTTGGCTGTAGCACTGAGTTGTGTATGTGTCGCGGCGCGTTTGTGTGCATGCGTAGTTGGTGCAGCACGGCCCGTAGTCGGGCTCGTCCTTGCCAGAGGATTGCCCTTCCTTGCACCCTTGAATGTCTTTGTCAAAGTCTCCAAAAGAGCAGCCGCCGAAGATACTGACACTACAGGTCGCCGAATGGACCGGCGCGCCCGAGCCTTGGCACCGGTCCGGGCCGCCCCACTGCATCTTGCGCCGCCTGTGCCAGCACGTCGCGCAGCATCCGGTTACGGCGTCTGCGTGATTACAGAGCCCATTCTCGGCGACGTCGTGGCAGCTCGCGATGCCGACAAGCCCGAGACTCTCAGCGTGCTGCGCGACGGCAGAATCGTCCACGTCCTGGCAGTTGCTTGGCTGCGAGGTTGTTTGGTCGATTGCGAACCCACCGACAGCGACAGCACTGACAGCGAGCAACCAGCGCAACATGCCTGCAGGAACCGGCAAACGAGGGAGTGAGCGTGACCTCGAGGAGGTCGTCGGGGTGAGGGGGTGCCAGAGGCACAAGGCTGAGGTCATGGCCGCGGGTGCCTTGTGCAGGCGTGAGCGTCGAATTGACGCGGCTGCAGGTGTGGGCTCGCGATCGTCAGAGAGGGCCGGGGAGAGCTCACGCCTGGGGCTGCCTGAGGCTGAGGCCGAGGCCCCTCGGCGAAGAAACACCCCGCGGCCGGTGTTTTTGAATTTGAGCGTTTGAAAATGAATTATGAGAATTCGGCTCCAAGGGTCGCCTCGATCTTGCTGGGAGACCCGGCGAGATGTGTCCGGCATTGCGTTATTAAAATGAATTCTGGGGCACGGGACGCGGCACAAACGGGGCACAAACGCCAGGCTACAAAGACGGGGAGGCACGTAGTGACGCAGGGGAGTCTAGGCGACGGCGGCGTCCTCCGACGCCGCGGCGAGCCTGAGCTCGGTGGAAATCTCTTCCGCCGCCGCGAGCTGCAGCGCGACTGACATGCGCTGGGCCTGCAGCGACAGCCACGACCGCGTCAACCAGCTCGCCTCGTCCTCGTGCTGCCGCTTCGAGAGCTTGTTGCGCACCTTGTCCTTCATCTGGTAGAACAGCCGCTTGACCGCGTTGCACCACCCGCCCAAGGTTTCGAACAGGTACATCTGCACGTCGGTGTCGCCTCCGAGCGCGAGAGGGCGTGCGCGTAGTCCGCCTTCTTGTACGCCACGTAGCCGCCGCCGTCGCTCGGCCTGAAGTCGCTATGCATATCGCCGTCCCCGACAGCGCCGCGCTGCTCGAGGCCGAAGACGTCCGCGCTCGTGCCGGGCTCGGTGTTGCCGAGGCCGACGAAAGCGCCTCGCTGGCCGACGTCCTCCGGGTTGGAGGAGAGCGAGTCCTTGAACTTGACGTCGCCGACGAGGCGCGAGCGCGAGCGGCCGGCGCCCGCCACCGAGACGTCGGGCCGGTAGTCGTTAGAGTAGCCGAGGTGGTCCCGCGGCTCCACCGGCATTGCGTCGTGGAGTCGGTTCGTACTCATGTGTATCAGTGTCGGGTATGTCCTAGGTTAGATGGTTAGATTTTGAGAGACCAAAATTCAGCACACATGGGGCTCCCACCAAGATCGATGGGAGAACCACATTCTCACAGGACCCGAAATCGGCTTAACCTCCTTAACCTCCTTAACCCACTCGTCGGGTCTCCCAGCAAGATCGAGGCGAGACCCACATTTGTGCATGTGCATGTGAATCATGCGCTGGTCATGGGTCTCTCTCTCAACCCTCCGTCCCTCCCGCCCCACCTCTGCGGACCCCTCTCTAGCACCGGCGGCTGTGCTACTACAAATGAAGCTACCAGCTAGCCTTCTGGGGCCCTACAGTCATATGCCTACGGCGTCTGGTGGGGGTGGCCGCCGCCGTCTGTGCCGCGCTGCCGCCGCCGCCGCCTGCGCCTGCGCCGCCATCTGCGCTCCCCAGGCGGACCCCTTCTGGCAGAGTAGAGACTAGAGTATGTGTAGTAGAGTCCTGCTGGTCTCCTCTTGATAATGTCATAAGTGTGGATGGTGTGTCAGAGCCTGACATCACCCCGATAAGGATCAACTGGAAAGCTGAACCCTGGGCTTAGACAGAACGGGCGTGGCAGGCTCCAGGGGAGACCACGCTCTACCCGGGGCGCTAAGGAGGGAAATCGAAGCTGTCGGGCGTCCAGCGAGAAAACTCGCGAGGACACACCGACAATCCCCCCTCCCCGAGGACCGAACCTAGGCACGTAGAGCACGGGTCATCTCGGAGAGAGAAAGGGGAGGGAAGAGGGGGGGGATAAGGGAGCCGAGATACGCGGGAGTACCCTGGGAGTGAGAGCTCTCATTCATGGTCGTGAGACCAGGGGAAGCCATCATGGGGGACGGGCACACCAAGGCACTAACTTCATCACTCATTCACCCCGCGCGATCAAGCAAACCCTGGTCGATGGGTCTTAGGATCGGCGGCCAGCTTCCCACCTAGGGCAGGGAACCCCCGGCGACGCAAGTGTGGCCTACGGTAGCTATAACGCGATTCAGGGGCTGGGGGGAGTGGGGCGCCCGCGCCAAGGGGGAGAGAATGGAGGGGGGAGAATATGCGTAGTAGGTAGGTAGGTAGAAAGGTGAAGAACAGCGTGCTCGTTTTTCTTGTGCAGCAATTTTTTTTTCTGAATACAGCGAGACTGGCGACACAGTCTCTGCCGCTGAGGGTTCCATCCTCACTTCGCGTGCGCTTCTTCGTGCGCTCCGCCGCCTGCTGCCGCGCTGGCTGGGCGGTGGAGAGGACAGCGCTGTTGGCGCCGCCTTCGTGCTCGACCCCTGACGGACCGGCAGGCGGCGCAGGCCATCTTCGAGGAGGGAAGCGGGTCGCTCCTCACGGATGGCTCGCGCTCCTGCATGGAGACCTCTCACCTGGAGTACAACGAGACGCTGCACGGGCTGCCAGGCGGCCAGCGTGGTCTGCTGCTGAGGATGGATGACGAGGGTATCGAGTGCGGGAACGGCGCGGCCGTCGCGACAGGCCACCTGTCCTCTTGGGATAAGTACAGCTACGGTGACTTCACCTGGGTGGCGCGGGTCGCCCACGCGCCTGGCGGAGGATCGCCGGCGCCAAACGCGTTCGCCTGCCTCGCGGTCTTCGTCCACGGGGCTCTGCCGCACAATGAGATTGCATGGCGCGCGCACGGCCGCACCGCCACACCGTCTCTCTGCGACGTCGCACCCCCCTCTCCGACACTCACATGCGCCTCGCTGCCCTCTCTCCAGCCTCTCCAGCCTCTCCAGCCTCTCCCCTCCCCGCCTCCCCGCCTCCCCGCCCGCACCCTCCGCCGGCCGCGGCAGGTGCTTTCCGTCCGGGAAAGGCGGGGCGGAGGTGCACTGTTCTGCTGGTTGATCTTCGCCCCGTGCCACAGCAGCAGCTCGACCACCCGCTCCTGGTCGCAGCCGGCGGCGGTCATCAGCGCGGTGTAGCCGTCGCTGTTCTGCAGGTTGACCTCCGCGCCGCGCCGAATCAGCAGCTCGACCACCCGCTCGTGGCCTTGGCTGGCAGCGTGTATCAGCGCGGTGCCGCAGCAGCAACTCGACCACCCGCTCGTGGCCGTTGATGGCGGCGAGCATCAGCAGCGTGATGCCGCTCGCCTCGCCTCTCTCGTACGTCGCGTCGGCCCGCGCGCCGCCGTCAAGCCACGCCAGCACCGCCTCCTCCTCGCCGCGCTCAGCCGCTAGCACGGCCGCATCAAAGCAGCTCAGGGAACCAGCACCACCATCGTTTTGGGTTCCGGCTTCTTTGGGGGAGGGGGACGCTGTTCCGCAACTTTCTGAAGTTTGTGTCCCTACACCCGTAGAGCCGGAAACAAAAACTCTCTCTCTCTAGAGCCGGAACCCAGCGTTCGTTGCGCACACCTCCCCTCGTGTGGAGTCGGCGTTGTCGTCGACCGAGGCTAAGGGGCTAGTTCCATTTCACTGTGGCACAGCTCGCGTTACAAAACCTTGATTTTGACCATTGCGCGAAAAAGGTACATCTCGGTGCCTTCCAGAGGCAGCTGCGACCCCGCCGAGTGG